TACTGGGATACCTGTGGTAGCCCAGTCATAAAATGCCTTTGTTTTTTGTCTTTTTTTTTTTTTTTCCTCCGCCACAAAATGGAAAAATTGCGCAATAGTACCCAGTGGTCATTGCGCCCTCAACACCATGACAACTAACTGTGATCCAATGAGGGTGAAGGTGTCCACATGCTGATCACGTGTTATCTTGATAATGATTGACGTTGTCATGCACGGACAGGTCCGGGTCACATGACGAACACGAGATTTTTGCTTAGAAAACTCTTTTGTCGGTCGTTTTGTATTTCAACGTGTTCTGATTACGATCACCTGAAGCATTATAGCGCAAACGCTCGAAATACTTACAGACGCATACACAAGTCGTATTGTTCGCCGCCAATCCACACTAAAAGATGTTATTGAGCGGTAATTTTGGACCGGATTGAATCGCGAACTGTGTATCCGTTGAAGTTTCTGGTGATTTCTGCCGTTTTAAGCTTGCTTTACCATCACTGTTATTCACATAATCTACTTTTGTTACGTTGGTAAAATCTGTACAGACATCACACAAACCAACTCGCGCACAAAGTAAGAAGAGTATATTGAAGGCTTGAAATTATATTACGATCGATTTTCATCAAGAAATGGGCTAGGAATTTTCCACAATAGTGCAAATAATCGTGAAGGCTGATCGAGGAAAAGCGATTGCGTGACGCTCGGTAAGCTGTAAGATGACAAGTTATTATTTACCAGACGTAAAAACTCTTCAGATTCTCAGTCTGCATTTTGTACCCACTCTGTAGTCTCCAGTCTATATTTTGTATCCGGTCTGCTGACTGCATTTTGTACTAACAGGTATCTGTGGCACCAATACAGTTTATTTTTGGTTACATTTATTCGCTCAACACACATAATCTACCACAAAATACCTGTGTGTGAGGTAATTCGACATTTTCGTTCTTTTCCACGTTAATACTCTTCTTTCCTTTTGTAAGAATGTAGACCACCAGTAATCCACCCACCCCTACAAAAATAACTCTTGCATGCATAGCATGCCTATTTTTTGAAATAGGTGTATGCCCTTAGCCAGACTTGAGCTCACTATTTCAGTATACTAATCCGACACCCGTAGTATCACTACACTTGATTCCAAGGATCCAGTACCATCCAGGTATCCCAGTCACCCTGCTCACAGAGTCTAGTTTTTTTTTTTTTTTTTTTTCCTCCCCCACAAAATGGAAAAATTGCGCAATAGTACCCAGAGGTCATTGGGCCCTCAATACCATGACAACTAACTGTGATCCAATGAGGTGTTCACATACTGATCACGCGTGTTATCCCTCAACTCCATGACAACTAACTGTGATCCAATGAGGTGTTCACATGCTGATCACGCGTGTTATCTTGATGATGATTGACGTTGTCATGCACAGACAGGGCCGGGTCACATGACAAACACGAGATTTTGCTTATAAAACTCTTAGGTCAGTTGTTTTGTATTTCAACGTATTTGGATTTCGATCTCCTGGAGCATTATAGCGCAAACGCGCAAAATACTTACAGACGCATATACAAGTCGTATTAATCGCGGCTAATCCACACTGAAAGATGTTATTGAGCGGTAATTTTGGAACGGATTGAGTCGCGAACGCTTGAAAGCCATGAAAGCCTTGAATGCCTTGCATGCTAAGTATGCCGATGTCTTAGTTAAAAAATGTTCACTTGTTGTAAAAAGCAAAATCTGAAATCTGAAACCAAACTGCATATACTCTATGCAATCTATTGAACAACGCTTCTACCGTGAGACTGAAGAACATAGCTATAAGGGATGCAAACTGCTTGTGAAGAAAGACGACATGTTGGATTCACTTGATGGCAAGGAACGTAGCTACGATAACAGTACGAATGGTATTAATTTCACGATCAGAAAGGTGAATCTTACGTTTGTTTTCATTGTAGTTGTATGGATATTCCTTTTTAATAAATACGTGATCCAAAACCCTGTGTTTTTTTGTGTATAATGTTGTTATGTTACATATTGTTTACGCAATTGTCTTGTCACAAGCGGCCCAAGCTCACGTCTCGAGAAAAAGCCAACGATTAATTTATGAACGCGTCACGCGTTGTGTGACTCGGTGTTAAGTTACGAGAGGAACTGCACGTTATAAGGAATAGTACAGGGAACGAAGTATGGCCTTATTAGGAAGCAATTCTGATCGGTTGTAACGATTATCCTGCAAGTATGAATGGAATTGTTGTGAACTACTTGAATTAGAAGTGTTTGCGAAATACTGAAATTAAGACTGTTCTGGCTAAGGGCTTGGCTTAATCATCGTACGATTATCGTTTGTCGTGTTTGGGTTTGTCCTTGACTTTGCTTAGAGTCCACAAAGGGAAGTTTTCTCAAATGCCTTACGAAATTGTTTGGGTCAGTAGCATTCTAAAAATATGTTCATTCCCAAACATGCCTACCGGTAAGATATTTCATAAAGAACACCTACTTAAGGGCTGAATACGAGAGAGATACAGAGACTCAGTTATTCAGATGAAAAGTCAGTAAGAGTCATTAAACAGCAAGTGAATAAAAGTTCTTGATCAAAGACTCCTGTTGTCTCCGTTGCGCGAGTTGTTCAAGCTAGTTAACCCCAACAGTCCTACAAAATAAATACGAACTTGTATATTCAGAAATCAAAATATCAGAAGAAAAAGTATCCAGATCCATCCACTTCAAATGAATTATTTCAGCAGGCTGTTAATCTTGAGCTTAACATAATTTCGAATTCGAAAATCTTGCCACTATATCTTGCTTTAGTCCTTGAACTGCACACAGTTTATAGCAGTGATGATATATTTGCACGAAGGCAGGCAAAATCTTAAGTTACCACCAGTGTCGGAAAAGTGACGTCAGCCGTGTAACCTCGCAACGCAAAACCAAGGGTGGTCTTTAGAATTGTGGTTTTGAAAAAAGATATAGGCTAAGATCGACGCGATACGAAGCGTGTAACGACTAGAATAAAGATAGGAAAAGAAAACTACGCGAGTGACTAGTGTTGCTATACTGGGATTTCCAACACTAACTGGCACCTCCGACGGACTGAGATCGAGACATGGAACTGGAGGCACTTCAGAAGAATTTGGACGCAAAACTCAAGCTTTTGGCGTACAAGCAAGAAAAGGAAAGGGCATTGTGGACAAGGCAAACGCGACAACTATTGGGAGACACCGTGACGGGTTGGTGTGTTTAGCAAAAAGAAGCGGACGAGGTCAAATTAAAGATCGAAGAGAAGAAGATTGCAAAGGGTGAGCAAATGGACGAGGTATGTGCATGGAGCAATGAAATAGACAAAGTTATTGAGGGTGTAGACGCGGAGATCGAATACCTTGGGAAGTGTTTGGGGAGGTGAAGAAAAAAAAAATCGCAAATGGCCGAAAAAGAAAGCGAGAAAGCGACAATCGCGAAGGAGAGAGAGGAGCAACTCGCGTTTGAAAAAGCACAATGGGAAATGAAGCTTGATTACGAAAAAAAAAATCAGAAGAATTAGGTAGCAAAAAGGGAAAGGGTTATCAGGCGATACCGGAATGCACGCAAAGTTGCCAAAGCTATCAATAACGAAGTTTGATGGGTCCTTCGAACAATGGCTCTCTTTTGGAATAAATTTTCCGCGGAAATAGACGCGACGGATCTGTCAGCAGTGACAAAGTTCGCTTATCTAAAGGAACTCCTTGTTACAAAGGTACGAGCGGACATAGATGGACTCCCGTTCAATCTTGAGGGGTACGAAAGGGCGAAGGCCATCCTAAAATCGGAGTACGGAAAAACGTCAGAAATTGTAAATGCATATGTAAACAACATCATGGGTTTGCCTACCATCACAAGGGCCAGTCCAAAAGAAATTAATGAGTTTTACAAAAGGTTTCTGTTCAATGTACAAAGCTTAGAGACGCTCGGGAAGTTACGTGAAGTCTCCGGAAATGTGAGGGCGGTGTTAGACAAACTGAAAGGAATAAAGGGAGACTTAGTCCGGGGACACGAAGATTGGCGAGACTGGGATTTCGCTAAACTGATTCAGGCAATTAAAGGTTGGAGAGACATAAATTCAGAAGGAGAAGAAAGCGATGGTGGGAGTGTGTCCAAGAGGAAGAATGATCGCAACGACTGGAATGCCCGTGTTCCGCCGCCACGCGGAAGGTCTTCAGGTCCAACAACAAGCAAATGGAGGACAGATGCGCGGATGCGTCTATTGCGATGACACGAACCACACATCCGCTAATTGCACCAAAGTTGTCGCGGTCGGAGACCGGAAACGAATTCTGAGCCAAAAACAGTTGTGTTTTAATTGTACAAGTGACAAACACAGAGCAGACAGCTGTAGAAGCCGCGGGTGTCATAACTGTCAACGCCGACATCACACGTCAATATGTGATCGCCCACCAAGCGGTCACACAACGAGGGGAAGATTTATGACGGCACAAAACAAAGGAACAGAGAGAGTCGTGTATCCCGTTGTTGTCGTGGAAGTAAATGGAATCAAATGCCGCGCACTCCTAGACACTGGGGCAGGCAGCTCATACGCGTCGTCAGCTATCCTTGAACACCTGGGAAACAAACCGCTACGAGAAGAATTCAAGCGCATAGAGATGATGCTTGGGTCAACAAACAAGGTCATCGGAGTTCATAGCGTGACGATTGGCAGCCTTGATGGAAAATTTCGATTGGAAACGGAAGTCACCAGAGTGGACCGTAGTACATTGCTATCACTTGACAACCCAGGATATGCTGGGATACTGGAGAAATATCCCTACTTGGATGGGGTATACATGGACGACAGAGACGAGAAGCCTGAGCTACCAGTCCACATTATCCTGGGTGCGAGCGAGTACGCGAAAATAAAGACAGAAACCATACCAAAGATCGGACGTCCCGGCGAACCTGTTGCAGAGCTAACAAAGTTCGGATGGACAATTATGTCACCAGGTAAAGAAGTTGACCTCTCTAATATGTTCTTGACCCAGACGACAGCGGCAGATTACGAACAACTATGCAAATTAGATGTTCTAGGATTGCGTGACACACCAGGCGGAGATCAAGCAGATGTTTATGAAGAATTCAAGGAACAATTAACACGAGGGCCAGAGGGATGGTACGAGACGGGGCTACCCTGGAGGGGAAACCACCCTCCACTGCCCAACCACAGAGCGGGAAGCTTGAAGCGATTGGAAAGTACCATTCGGAAACTGGAGAAGAACGGAATACTCCAGAAGTATGACGCCATAATTAAAGACCAGCTTAACGAAGGAATAGTGGAGCGAGTGTCAGGCCCACCAGTGGGAAAGGAGTTCTATATTCCACATAAAGCAGTGGTGAGACAAGCTGCAGAGAGTACCAAACTTCGAATCGTGTACGACGCCTCTGCCCGAGCTTCAGAGAAGGCTCCTTCTCTCAACGAGTGCCTTCACGCGGGACCTCCGTTGCAGAACAAGCTTTGGGCTGTTCTTGTCCGTGCACGTTTCCACCCAGTCGCGTTAACAGGTGATATCAAGCAAGCGTTCTTACAAGTACGAATACGGGAAGAAGACAGGGATGCCATGAGATTCCACTGGATCACGGACTTGCAATCCAGGCGAGTGGAAACACTGAGATTCACGAGAGCTCTGTTTGGTTTGGCCCCATCGCCCTTTCTTCTTGGGGGAGTTATCAAACAACACCTGGAAGCCTGTCGTACCGAGAATCCGGACCTGGTGAGGGAAATAGAGAAGAGTCTATACGTCGATGACCTTATCAGCGGGGGACCCACCGTAAAAGCTGCCCTTGAAGTCAAAGCAGGCGTTACCCAGGTCTTTAACCAAGCCTCATTCAAGCTGCACAAGTGGCATTCAAATGTTCCGGCAGTGGAGTCCCCTGGTGATCCTCTTAGCGAAGATACTACATTCGCGAAAGAACAGTTGGGTGCACCTCAAGAAGGAGGGGGATCTATTCTCGGGCTTCCATGGAACAAGCGACAAGATACCATTGAAATAAATTTCCCAACTGACCGCACCCAAGTGACAAAGAGAGGGATACTAGCGAAGATAGCAAGAGTGTATGACCCGTAGGGGGCTCGCAGCGCCTATGACATTGAGTGGAAAACTACTGTACCGAGACGCATGTGATTTGAAAGTCGGATGGGATGCTCAACTTCCTGGTCAACTGGGAACCAAGTGGTCAAGATGGGAAGCACAGCTACCAGTGAGCATTTCCGTACCCAGAGCCATACCTCAACACTTTGAAGAGATCAGCAACATTGAGCTACATTGTTTCGGCGACGCAAGCGGACAAGGCGTTTCTGCGGCAGTGTACGGTGTCATATCTCAACCATCCGGTGATAGTGTTGGGCTGATAGCAGCCAAAGCTAGACTGGCGAAGCAAGGCCTCACCATCCCCCGCCTCGAGTTGGTCTCCGGTCACATGGCGACCAATCTCATTGTGAACGTTAAGGAAGCATTAGAGGGTTTCCCAGTTGGAAATATGGTTTGCTGGTTGGACAGCAGCGTTGCGTTACATTGGATCAAGGGAGCAGGGAGTTACAAGCAGTTCGTAAGCAATCGAGTGCAGAAAATCCAGCAACACCCAGAAGTAAACTGGCGTCATGTGGGTACAAAGGACAACCCAGCTGACCTTGGCAGTCGGAGCGGAAGCGTGGAAAATGAAGAGCTATGGTGGAGAGGGCCTGAGTGGCTACTAGACCGAGAGCGATGGCCAGCCGATATTAAGACAACGGCCACACCAGACAGTCAGGCGGAAGCAAAAGTGATACGGGACGTATTCGCTGTAGCACAAGCTAAGACAGACATCCTAGACGCCTTGCTGATCAAGTTCAACTTATGGAAAACCCTAAGGGTTTGTGCGTGGGTGACTCGATTCATACATAACCTACGGAGCGAAAAGACGAGAAGATCTAAGGGACCACTCACGACAGAGGAGATCGAGATGCAGCGACACCTGTGGCTAAAGCGAACACAGGTGAAATTCAAGAGAGACGAGCGGTTCGAAGATCATCGTGTTCAGCTGAACCTACAAGAAAACGCAGACGGGTTACTGGAATGCCGAGGGCGGATTCAGGGAGACTATCCCATTTACTTGCCTGAGTCTCATCCGTTCGCGGAGAAGATGGTGGCAGACGCACATATCAGGACACTCCACGGGGGAGTGAGCCTCACAATGGCAAAGATTCGTGAAAGGTACTGGGTTCCCAGGTTGCATCGCCTTGCAAAAAGAGTCGTTAAAGCTTGTAACGGCTGCAAGCGGTTCCGCGCCACAGCGTTTGCGGTCCCGCCACCAGGACAGCTACCAAGGGATCGTACCGAAGGAGAAAATGCGTTCCAAGTAGTCGGAGTGGATTTCGCCGGACCACTGAAGTATAGAAAGGGGAGGAATCATGAAGGCAAAGCTTACATAACGCTTTACGCCTGTAGCCTGACCAGAGGTATTTACCTTGAGCTACTACCCAGCCTAGAAACGGGAGAATTCCTTCGATGCCTGAAACGGTTTATCGCCCGATGTGGGCGGCCAGAAAAGATTTACTCAGACAACGGGAGTACCTTCGTGGCAGCAGCTAAGTGGCTGAAACAAGTGATGACTGACGAACGCCTCAACGAATTCCTCTCCCGTCAAGAAATCAAGTGGCAATTCAACCTGAGCAGAGCACCCTGGTGGGGAGGGCAGTTCGAGAGAATGGTTGGATTGGTGAAGAGAAGTCTACAGAAGACCATTGGAAACGGGTTCCTAACGTGGACCAAGTTAGAGGAGGTTATACTAGACGTAGAGGTTGCAGTCAACAACCGACCTTTAAGTTACGTGGAGAACGATGTGCAGCTACCGATCTTGACCCCCCACTCCTTGTTGTTTGGTCAACCAAATGCACTACTCGAGTTGGAACCGCACTGCATAGAAGACGGTGAATTACGCAAGCGAGCAAAGTATCTCAGACGATGCAAGGAGGCCGTCTGGAAGCGATGGACGGGGGAGTACTTAAAGGGGCTGCGCGAACGCCATCGTCTAAAGAATCCTGGAAAGTCCGAAAATCCTATTGTGGGCGAGGTCGTGCTGATCAAGTCGGACGACAAGAATCGCGGGAAATGGAAGGTCGGGATCGTCACGGAACTAATCAAAGGGCGTGACGGTGTTGTCCGGGGAGCAAAGTTGCGCACAGGGACCTCACATCTAGAGCGAGCAGTACAGCAGCTGTATCCGTTAGAACTGTCATGTGATCGACCGGGAAACGGCGACAGACCTCCAACGACCGAGTTGCGCATTGAAGCGCCAGCGTTCAGGCCTTCCCGTGATGCAGCCGTCGCAGCAAGATTACGTATGGAGGATCTTGCTCACGATGAGGAAGGGGGGTTGAACTTTGAACCAAACCGAAACAGATTGGATGACAACAGCGGATCGGATGCTTGAACATTCTACTTATGAACTGAACATCTGCCACTATGGCTACTGATTGATCAATGATTAGTGTGATTAGGAAATCGATTGAAAATTCTAGATGATAGATTCGTTCATAAAATCTAAGCGATAAGGTTCATTTCTCGACAGACATTTGCTCTCCGAGACAAATGGGGGGAGGGTGTCGGAAAAGTGACGTCAGCCGTGTAACCTCGCAACGCAAAACCAAGGGTGGTCTTTAGAATTGTGGTTTTGAAAAAAGATATAGGCTAAGATCGACGCGATACGAAGCGTGTGACGACTAGAATAAAGATAGGAAAAGAAAACTACGCGAGTGACTAGTGTTGCTATACTGGGATTTCCAACACCAGTTTATGAAATACGTTTGGGTTAATTGCCTCTCGTTTCTTGCGAAAATGAAATACGGCTCACAATAGGGAAATATCGAAGAAACAAACAGTGCAATGTTATATATCAAACGCCCTCCGTTATGACGGCGAACAATCGTGAAATATGTTCCGCATTCTATTGTTCTTACGTGGCAACATTTAATTTCCTTTAAATCAGCAAGTCTCAAGGCACTCACATTTCGCGAAATTTTGCGACTCGAAAAATTACCTCGACCAGCTAAACTTAAAGCCAGGAATGCAAGACGATGAACTTATTGCGCAAACAACGGTTCTGAATTCCCATGGGCTGATTAAAATGTCAAATCGAAAAGACTTAACCTTTTAGAAATAGACATTGAATCTACAACTTGCAACCTCTGATGATCGCTCTAGTGTCACAATCAAAATGAAACTATTGGTAAGTGCAACAAAAAATTGCTCCCTTTTTAGTTTTTCGGGATACGTGATTCAAGCAGATAGCTTGTGCAGCGGTTGGGGAACTAGATTCATTGGCACAAATTGGCAATCAAAAAGGACTATGGTGAACTCACCGACTGAGAGGCACATCAGAAACACCAGAAAAGGAAAATACTTCATGGTGGCGTTAGGACTTTCCTCCAAAGGGTTGTTTCACACAAGGCTTGCCTGTCCGAAGGTACGCGCTAATGGTGACGTGTTAACGAAATAAATGATATGTAGCCAAAAAGATTAATGTCTGTTAACTGTGTAAGCCAATGGGATTCATAGTTTGGAAAGCTAAAACTCTAAGTCTTACTTTCCTGGAATCAATCTTGTTTCTGAGAAATACTTCTTCATGCCAAAAGTAGAAGGGCACTTTCCCCTCTCTGTTTAGGTTTTAAGTGAGAGGATTCTGGCTGTGTCATGACAAAATTTACCTAATCCCCTCCCAAGGGTCTGTAAGGTAGTCTCCTTCCCAGTCGTTCTAAGACTCGTCACGCAACGTTCCTCCCCAAGTCCGAGACTGAAAACGGCTGCGAAGGAGACTATCAAATGTCAGTCATTTGTAATTTAATTCAACGCCAGCTACAATGGACACGTTATTCAAATAAAGGTGTCTAACATTTTTCGAATTTTATCCAACCCAAACTACAGATAACTGTCATGATTAGTCAACAGGTGACGCAAGTCTCTAACTTATTTGACTTCCCGTAATAAGCTCAAGTTTAAGACCGTGACGATGTTGTTACGTGGGCCACGCTTGCCTTTACTCATGAAAAGGAGTACGTCCGTAAACCAGACCCTCTTAGGATCGTCATCATTTGCTGTAAACGTAGGTTTTGCGCCACGAAAACTTGTAAGCGTAGTTTGTTCAGCTTTTCAGCTCTGCAGTAACAAAACTGGATAGGACAGAATGAACGAGAGGGTAGCCGAGCCAGAGCAAACCGGATGTTCAAAAATTCGTGGGGTTTGGTTGCTATGGTGTGACGTCATGATCCGGCTCAGTAGCTATCATCGCTTTCGATTTGTGGTTTCAACAGGGGAGCGTTCGGTGATTACATTAGCACCGTTGTGTACAACCTCCAATGGCGTCAATCCTGTTTATTTTGAGGGGCTGGATTTTTCTTTTGACATTTCTTGAGGTTGAATTTCAGACATTACTCACAAGAGCGGGAAATTTGTTCTCATTTCGATCAGGTGCTGTGCGGCATGGATGCCTTCGATATTCGAAGAGCTGAATTGCTGCACTCCACGAGCGATTCGAGGGACTGGTGTCTCCTGAATTCCAAAATATGCGGCATTCCTCTAGGAAAATTCATGTCGAGTACCCCTTTGGTGTCAAGCTTTCCAAAAGAATTTAACACAGTGCAACTCTCGAATCTTAAAAATGGCGGGCACTTGGATCGACAACTAGTTCACAAAGAAGAGGTATTCATAGCCTCTTCTTTCGGCGTTGTTTCCGCGATACTTCGGCAAAACTAAAAGCGGGCGAAGAAGAAAAGTACAGTTGGTTGGTTGATGGCATCAACAGCCTAAATATTGGCCAAGATAATGAAGATTGCCAAACAGCGACTGACACACGTGACAACAACAAGGACAAAATTCATGACCCTGTACAAACAGTATTTGGAGTCGATTCAAGGTCAGCCATATCCATAGAGGATATCGAGAAGAGTCAAGATGAAAATCTTAAGCTTAAGGCTGAACCTGAAGTTGTGCTTTCCCAGTTAGAAGCCCTTCGAGATGAGGTGAAAAACGGCGGTCAATCGACGCTGACCTCAGGCATACAGGACCCGGCAAAGGACAACCCGGACAGTACAAGCGATATGTGGACCTTGATCGGCGATGTTTGCGATAAGTTCCAGGTGCCTCTTGCATCTTTATTCGCCGATCAGGTGGACCAGAATGTTGAAGTGGCTAAAGTGATGAGCGATATCGCAGAACAGCTGCTGAGAAAAAAAGACCCGAAGCAAGCCCTGGAAGCAATACTGGGGGACAGTGCCCCAAAATTCTTTAAATCACTTCGTGTGCCCGATTGGACGTTGCTTTACTTCAAGCTGCAGTCCCGGATCCCAGACCAAGGATGGTAAACCTTGTTGAACTTTACAAAGTTAGGGCGAACTAAGGTAAATCATTTTATCTTTTTAAATCATTTTGTATTGCCAGTTAGTGTGTTTGATTCAATTGGTGAGTGGGGAAAATCTGCCACCCCTGTATTTAAATTCTGGTCAACTTTATCCGTTTCATTTGGAGGTCAAAATTTATTTAATTATGATATAATAAAACAATATACCGATACAAAGTACAAAGATAAATAGAAAAATAACAAACAGAAATATTGTTTTTCCTCTTTCTTTTTTTATTGCTAAACTTTGTCAAGGGCATGGCTAGAGGGGTTCCTGAGGTGCCCCTGACCCCCCACCCCCCTTTAACCTTTGTAAAAGTGTCTACCCTATAGCAATTGCAAATTGTGAGGAAAACAGGTGATAATAATAATATTTAGGTCTTCAATGGCTAAAATATCACTTTAAGAAATGCATTTAGCAGACTGCTAAATGCACTATTATGATTTCATAATTCAATGCCCATCATTAAGTTAGGAGTTCAATTAAATGAGTTTAAACTGTTTTTTTTTTTTCTGTAGGATCAATGTTGAAGCCCTAATAAAGGAAATCAATGCCCAAAAAAATGCCATCAAGAAAATGGAATAACTATTGATGGAAGACACTTTAAAGTCAAATTTACAGGTGATTAAATATACTTTCCTAGGCCACTGTAGGGCCAAGGAAAAATATCCAGTTTATTGCTGGAGTTCATTTATATATTGAAGTTATGTTTATTTTCAGAATTACATGTATTTCTTTCTTCTGTTTGCTATTAAAACATATAGTATAATAATGATATTGTAGAATACCTCCATCTGCTGAATTTGTAAGTGCCTAATGTTTCACGTGAGCACTGGACTCCAGATCAAGCAGTCTGGGTTGAAACCCTAGCCGAGGCCACTGTGTTGTGTTCCTGGGCAAGACATTCAACTTTCACAGTGCTTCTCTCCACCCACAAATAATATAAATGTATATGAATGTGTATCAATTGGCAAATTTAATGCTGGGCAGGGATAACCCTTTTATTGACTAGCATCCCATCCAGGGTGAAGTAGAAATACTCCTAGTCCCTTAGTGCTACTGAAATCCAGATAAGCTTCAATGCTGGTGGGTGACTTCTGGGCCCAAACCCAGACCTTACCTTACTTAATAAGGGAGACAGTGATCTGCATTGTAATTATCAGTGGTGAGTGTGCTGAACTTGAGATCTAGTGATCTGGGTTTCAAGTCCTGGCCAAAGTAATTGTGTTGTATTCATAGGCAATACTCACAGTGTCTGAGCTCAGAGGATTGAAAAAGTACCAGTGAACTTAATCCTGGCATGTAAAACCCTTTGATAGGCTAGCGCCCCATCCGGGTGCGCATAGAAATACTCTTGTCACTTCATGCTCCTGAATCCAAGGTAAGGCTACAAAGCCTGATGGGCCACTATAGGCTTGAATGGCCCTTTACCTATTGCTAAATTACTGACTCCATCACCTTAAAAAAAACAAGACTTAAGAATCAATTTCCTCATTCTCTTCTTGGATGTGTTCCTAAAGATTGTAACCATCTGCATTTCTAAGTCAGGCTGTAGAAATGCTGATGACAGTAAATGCAGACTGATTAATTAAAATAAAAGGCATTTTGGGATGTGATCCCAGAAGAAGCCTGTTAATGGACATTAAAATCATATTTGTTAATGTCGGATGTGACATTCAAGAAAATTTAATTATTTGTCTTGTTTTTTTTATGACAGTTACGCTTGATTACAAGGCATTGATAATGCTTATCAAACGAAAGAGTGAAGGTAATGAGTCAGATGAAGAAATGGAAGGTCTATGTCAGAGAGGGTTGGACACAGAGTGCTGTGTGTTCTGTAAAGTTTTACGGGTAAGTTATCACAGAAGTAGCCACTAAATGTAGTTCCTATGTCACTGGATGTGCACAAGTCATTTTATAATAGTGTTATCACTGTAAGTTTTGGTATATGGGTAATTAAAATTCATACCCAACTTCAACTTCTTCTTCACAGTTTTTAATTGTATCAAGCTTGTTAAGGATACTATTATAGACAAAGTATTCAATTTCAATTACTTTGATTGTGTGCCTATTTATGGACGTAGTTACAATGTTTTTTCTGTTTTCCTATTGGTTTGTAATCAGATCCTTTAGTGTCACCTCACATTTTCCATAAGATTTTGACTTATTGTCCATTGTTTGCCTTGTTTGTTATCTTGATTCATAATCTTTGGCACGAGTGGGACCGATATTTTATGATCGTTTATAAATCGTTGTTAACCGTAATCCTTGGTTTCCTTGTTTTGTGGTTCCTTGATGACGACCTGTAAAATAGTCCTGTTACTTAGCAAACACACCTTAGCAATACCCCTTGAATTTTTGTCTTGTCTTGTTGCAAGCTGTCACTATCTGGTAAACAATAAAATATTTTTCTCTATTTTATTGCAGGGATGTGCATGTCCAGGGGTTGAACGTGGTGAATCCTGTGCAGAATGCTTTATCAAGAGCAAGGCAAATGTTGGAGGGTCAGTAAGCCCATTTAATTTTTTAATGCAATCATTTTACAAGGGCAGCTGTATGTTATTTATGTGTTTTTGGTTATGTGATTAATTTTTTTGTACACACCTCAGACTTAAGACATGCATCTATGTATTAAATTTTAATTACAAAACTATTTTCAGTAAACAAGTATTTTATTAATCCCTGTTTAGCCTTCTCCATTATACCTTACATTAATTTTCTATGGTTGTAGATATAAACGTTATTGTCCTTAGAGAAACTGCAGACAACTTCCCAGGAATTGGCTTGATTGTAATTGTGCATAATTACAATCTGGCATATAATTGTAATTACATTGTATGCACAGGAGAAACTGATAAATACCTAAGCTTGATAATGTTTAGGTATAAAATAAAAGGTCAACTTTCAGTAATTTTTGATATTACTCCTCCTTTGCTAATAATTATTTTAGATGGAAGGGTGTTAGGGATGACTTGCTGTTTCTCCTTGAAGAAGAGTTGTGTGATGTAAACCTATGCACTCTTCATTGCGAGCTGCGGAATACAGAGCAGTGGCTATGTTCACTGGGAATGTTTGCGTATGAGTGTGGGAGCCTTAAAAATTGCAATGCTGTTTTAGCCGATTATGGACCAGACAGTATGAAGGGAAGGGACAGAATCGTAGTAAAGACAAAGCCTGGCCAGGAAAGTGGTATTGAGCAGCACAACATTCAAGTGTTGTCATTCTCAGGTATACAGTCATAAATCAGATTGATGCAAACAGCTATTGTGACAGTCACTTTTTCTACAAAAGACTCCAACAGAGTAAATAAGCATACTTCATTGACCATAAAATTCAAGAATGCTTTTTTTCCTCTCCCTCTTTTCCCTTGGCCAAGTGCTAATACCAAGCCAATGTAGCTAAACAAGTCATGCAACATAAATACAACAGCCAACACACAACTAGGAAAGTAAATTATGTTGTATTTAATGCCATATCTTTAATACCATAATTAATGTATTGTTTTCTTCAAGCTTTTAGAACAAAAAGACTATGCCTTACTTAGTGTGGTTGTCAAAGCTAATAACAACAACTTTGTCTTCAATTAATAACAATCATACAGAAAAATGAAAAGCTATAGTAACCATAAACTATTGTTAACTGAACAACTTTTAATCCCCACCCCCAGCCTAAGGTGATTTAACAACTTTAGCAGTATTTGCTAAAGCGTGATCTTTGTATCGTTTTTAGGTTCAACAGAACGCAGGTTTCTCGAGAACATTGAAGAAATTGTCACCCAGTCACTGCCATTAGAAAACCTGAGAAGGTTTTCTAAAGACAAAGATGTTGCTGAAACATACTTATTAAATCAGATTACATTCTGTGAGGAAATGATCCAGGTAAACTTCCAAGGAGTTAGGAAAAAGAGGAACACTGACTTAGTGTGATAAGGAAAGTAAACAATATTGTTGCACATGAACTGATAATTTATATCTGAACGTGTAAAAATATACAAATCAACAAGCAACAAGTAGGGCGCGAACTAGACATGATTACCCTTAGGAATCGTGCACTGCGGTCGTACATGACATGATTACCTGCAACCTAGAATGTCCTTGACATGATTATTGCATAATTTGTAGCTAGATGACGTGCCGGGTGCTGATTTCGAAAATTAACTTTACGCTTCTGGCCGATCAGAAAAGAGATAGTGAGTTGAAGGTATAATAATATTTAAAATAACAATAATAATAATGGTGATATAGCGGGGATTGGGATCTAGTTTTTACAGCAATACAGATAATAATGACATAATTATTCCTGCAATTATTATTCTTACTACCATGGCGAAAAAGTAATATAAATTATGATCTAGAGCGTTTACGAAGTCTTTAAAATAATTTATGAACGAGAAAGCTTGGCTCATTCCTGTTTCTACATTTTCAGCCATATGGAAAAGTACCAGCATACAAGTTAGCATGGCTTCTCTAAAATTATCCCAATATTCCAATCCAACCATAATAACTTTGCATTCCTTGTAACATCTTTTCTTTCTCTGTGTGGTTTTGTTCCCCACTAGTCGAGTCACGTCATCCTTCCAATGCACAAGTGAAGTCTCTCACGAGCCACATCCTTGTATTCGTGCCAGGCTTTCTCTTCGGCAATCTGGAAGGCTTCTGCGGAAGGCTCTATTCCTTTTGAAATGAAAATGATAATAAAATAATAATAATTTAATGTAAATGTTTCTTTCTGGAAAATTTGAAAAGTTTAATTTTGTTGCTGCCTTTGAATAAAAGAATATAGTGTCCCATTATTTTCTCTTGCCTTGAATCATTATTTCCTTATCTGGTATATTCAATAGCTTTATTACCAGGTGTTATAAGCCAAGTTGTATTTGATATTATTTGTACATACCACATACGCAAATACTAGTTCAGAGGTGATTAACTGGTACTATTTACCGCCGAGCAGCTAAGGAGACAAAATCGCGCATGAAGAGTTCAACAACTCACCCTTCAAGCTTTGGTACATCCATCGAAATAACCTAAGTTTCTGGTTTCCGTGAGGTGTACAGTATACCAGAACATTTATTTACCTCCTCTTTGGTCAATGATTTTTACATGTATTTGCAAAATCATCTCTTGTTACATTTAACTCAAATGTTATCCGAGGCAGTTTTTTTTACAACTGAAGGTATTTTTCACTCCCATTATATATGGAATAGCTAATCATCGTGTTAGATGTAAAGTCTTTTCACCTTGAGCATAGTTTCCCCTTCGGATGAAGTAGTCTGTTTTGACGATATCAAAACTCATGCGCGGCTTACTCTGGTAGTACACTAAGTGATGTGTTTCTATCTCCCGGATCAGTTGCTGTGCTTTGGCCATTTGTGGCTCAGGAACTACTCTCTGGACGTCAAGGTGTTTCACATGCCTGGAAGATTTGACGTAGAAAGCGAGCTGCCTGTTTTTTGATCTGATCTGGCAGCGATTGGTGATAGGCCTTGTATCGGCAATCAAATGATTTTGAACATCTTGAAAATACTGCTCTGCCAAGGTCTCTTCTTGAGCCGTAATACCGATTCTTGCTGATTTCTCTGCAAGAAATGCTGCATAGAAGTATCTATTTTCTGCTGTTTCCTCGCCCGCTGCACAGGGCCACAGAAGCTAGAATTCAAAGATTGAAATTAAGTTTGGGCATTTTGATAATCAAACGCAAGTCAGTTGGACATTATAATAACCAGATATTGATAAGTTCAAAACCGGCTTGGGATTCAAGTTCGTGGTAGACTGCTTCGGGGAAAATTCTATAAAATGATGTCGATTAGACTTCATGAATGTATCTCTAATACCCTCACCTCGACAGAAACATCCAGGCACTCCCTAGCCCTTTCATAGTCTCCTTTTCTACGAGCTAAGGCAGACTCGACATATCTGAGCTTGGAAAGGATGTAGCAATGATTAGGTGAATGAAATCTTTGGGAAGTCTCCAAGGCCTGATTGGCGTGTTTCTTTGCGTCCTCATGTCTGTTCTCATGCAAATCCAGTAAGGTTTCCTAGAGGAAAATGGTATAAGAAAATGAACTATCTGACCCCTCGGCATAGTTAACTGTGTTAATTTCCCCGAGAAGAGTAGGTTTGAAAATTTAACACACTTCTTCGAATAAAAAAAAAAAATTCCTTCTCCTACCCCCAGAGAACATGCAAGCAACTACTTTCGCGTTCTTAGGTTTTCATTTATTCTAAATCATGACAGAGGAAGCCACCAGAATACTGTGCATGTGATCCTGATGAGATATGGTTCTTTTCGTTGTGCTTATTTGAAAAAAAATAAACAACTCAGGTGATGACGAGTTGGCGTCATCATCATGTATAATAAAGACCAAAACTTTAGAAGAACAGGAAAAATGAAATGGAAAAATTTAAAGCACTCACTTCATACAATATCAATGGTAGCAAGTCCACGAACCGGGGATTCCTGTCAATATACATCTGGAGCAATTTTTTGTGCCTAGTAAAACGCACATGGTCCCCTGATCAAAAATAAGATTTTTATTGGTAAAAATGAAAAAAAGCAATGTTCTGATTTTCTCTCCTAAAGAAATGATTAAACCCACCGTTATCTGCCAGGCGTTGAAAATGACCGACCATAGACATTCCCATGGGGCTGGTCCACAAACCTATGAATCAAACGAGATAAGAAGTCATTTACTGGTCTATGACAGCAACCAGTGAGATTGAATTCACTGTACCTTAGAAATAATGGATAGGTTACCACTTACACTCCAGCGCTATCATCATATATAGTGTTGAAAGAATATTCGTGGCAAAGCTTAACTCGAGCCATTATTATTATATATGGGTTTCCATCTGAAGCTAGATATCCTCTCCAAAAAATTTACATTTTGCCCACCCTACTACTAAAAGCAATTCCTTACACGCCTCAATTCATCTGAATGAAGTTCCTTATCAATGGAAAAGATACAAACCTTTCGGTCTTAGTTTTCTGATGGGTTGCTCAATTCCAGATCCCTCCAGAAATTCCTCAAGACGGGGGCCTGGAACCGAAAAGAGCTTTTGAAAATAAGCGACATTTCGGCTCCTATCCATAGAGGTATAAAGCCGCACTGTGTGAGAGAAGGTCTCTGGTCTGACGGATGGAAGAAGAAGGGTGACCAGTCCGGTGAAACGGTCCTGAGATGCGGTTAATATCACTGCTGGTGATGAGATATTCACTTCAATCAGATACTCTCCACGGTTCTAGAGAAAATCACATGGAATATTATGTCTTTAACACCTGAACGTGAACTCAAAATTCTCAATTTAGCATAGTAAGAGTGTATTGAGGTTTTTCGCTTTTAAGTTTTTTTTTAATTATTATTTTTATTTTTAGGGTCTTGACTGACGGCAGTTTGATGAGGTGGCCAATAGTCTGCAAAAGAAAACGAGAATATGTACATCATTGACATTAACCTAGCATAAAACCTTCAATAACATCCACGAAGAAATCTCTAGATTCGGTCAAAAAATATCTCAACCTCACCTTTGAGGCGTGCTGCCCCCCCCCTCACCCCTCCTTCCAAACATGCTCAATCCTTAAAACCGCTAGTGGAGTAGAGAAGTCTCAACCCTCTCAAAGCTCCTCGACATCGTAGAATGCGAAGACGTTGAATGAGAAAGTATTTAGGTAATATTTGCTTAACGAAAAGACAAAGATAACTTTCAACAGAGAGATGATGATCAAGTACCAGAGACGTTTTTTTAGCAGGCACTGTTTTAAATTTGATTTACTCACAACAGAAAATCCAGCCTCGGTAGGACTCATCTCCCAGCGACATATTTCATAACTGGGGTATAATTCAATTCCCAGTTGATAGTGAATGACGACATATGGCCAATGAACTGTAGAATGTTCCATTGCACTATTCAAGCTGGGAGGGATTTGTCGAAGACGATAAAACGATTCGAGTCCATGGTACCTCTTAAGGCCAAGAATAATAAGATGTAGTGTTTGGCGCTGAGATACCTCTTCTGACATCTTCGCTATGGATTCAGTAATAACAGTGTTAGTAAATATTCACCCGTAAACAAAGGTGGATATGAACTACTCTCCACAATTCAGTTTAGTAGAAGTCAATACAATGTAATAATCACAGTGACTTTTTGCTCAGACCTACTGTGACAAATAATACAGCAGTTTAAGTGTCGACCGCATACTGGCTAACAGTTCTTTGCGCACTTTGAAGCGGGTTACCCCTGACTTGAAGATCCCGCGCCAGTTATCGCGGCTGTGCGGCTTTCATTTTTACGTAAAAATCAGTACTAAGACTGTAAGCGGTAGGACTCATCTCCCAGTCAGTTTATAAGGGGTACATTTATAAAGAAACTGTGGTGCTGCGTCGGTTGGGGTTATTACAAGGAAATTGATTTATCGTTAAGTTGATAATGTAAATTTTGCTATCGAACAGCATTTGTAAAGCTGGCGTTTCGAGCGTTATAATTTCAGTTTGTTTACTTTCAAGTGTGACGAAGCAGTTCTGTTTACGGCAAATGGCAAACGGTTCTTACCATTGGCTCTCAGCCGTGGACTAGTAAATATTTTGTAATGGCTGTAGACAAAGTGCTCCAGGGTTGATTTAAGAATCGCTTAAAACGGTAGAAGAATATTAAGACTCAATTTCGCCGTTTTGTAAACGCCAGGTCAAAAACGCTTTTCATAGGAGAAAACTGACAAAACTGCTCTTAACGAATGTGCTATTTAAAAAACTGAGCATGGTGAGATCATTTTTCGATAAATAAGTTCATGGCCCTTTATGAAATATTTCAAGAGAAAAACTGCTTGATGTAGGTTTACTTTGGGAAGGCGGAAAAAGTTAAAATACTAGTAAGGCGCATTTAGACTCCCTCAGAATGTGTTCACTAGCATGGTATATCTGTTCTGATGATTATTGGTTCATGCGTGGCAAGTTAAGGAGGCGGCGAATGGGTGTTCGATGGGCTGATCAAAACAAAAAAAATGGCAGTGAAAACATCAGTCGAATTTTGAAAAATCGCATCACGAAAAATCATGAAACACTTTGAAGGGCTTGTCTGAACATACATTCTTGAACAATTTACTGTTATCCCTTTCATCAACGAAATTAACGCCACATTCGCCTCGAGAGTCCTGGCAAAATTATGTGAATACATATTGCATCATGTAAAATTACCTATTATGAAATTCACGGGTTGCCTCGAGAGTCCTTGCAAAATGATATTAATACGTAATGTATAGTACGATTATTACGAACCAGAATAACGAGTCAACTTAAGTCGAATCCGCTGCTTTCGTTGAATGTCTGTTCTCGTGACAATCAAGATCAACTGAAGGTTCAAATCTTTTAAACGTTTTGATTTTTTTACCGCTTCGGCTTTGATCATGTTCCGCTTTTTCCACAAACAAAATTGAACTTACTTTAAGGACCAGATCCTGAGTAAGACTCGTCAAATGGCAGTTAGCGGCTGAAATAACATCTTTCTTTAACGTTGAAAGTGAACTACGCAATGAAAGAATTTACGAATTGGCATGTACAAAGAAATGCAAATTCTTAATGTTTGGACTTTGTTCGGGGATTCCCCCATTATGATGTCATATCAATATATTTTGCCCAAACACCTGAAAAGTGCAAGTTGTCATGTATAAAACAATCAGTTTTAAAACTTGTCCCAATTTATTGAGTTTTTAAGTTTTCGGACTCTTTGGATGGTAAGCTTGTTACGTTTATGTCTAGATAATGTGACAAGGATCAGCTTTAGAGTTGGCACTTTTGAAGGAAGAAGCATTGCTTTTTTTTTGTGTATGAAGCACCAAATATTAGACCGTTAGTATTAGTGAAGGACTTTATTGGTAAAGAAAGAAATATTATATATTAAAATTCACATGGCAACCAGGTGGACAATCAGACATAGCTTGATGCTACACTGGTTTGCAGATTTAATGAATGTAACCGAAGAAGTTACAATTCATAGACCCAACGTTTCGACACTCCTGTCGAGTGCCTTCATCAAGGGTGATCTAAACGCTGCAACAAGAGGTCCTTTTATATGATCACTAGTTAGCGGCCTTTTTTCTGACGAGGTGTAAATAGGCGTCAGGAAGCAAGCCGCCATCGTCACGATTTAAAGGAGCGTGGGCGGAGTTAATATGCCAAGCCTCCAAACAAAGGCGCTGGTGGCAACGCCGATTAGTGGTGATAATTTTAGAATTGTCCCACCCAATTGTATGGTTGGTTAGGCAAGTATGCTCCGATAAAGCTGAATTTTCCTTTTTGCAAAGAAAAACCGCTTTTTGGTGCTCTTTTAACCTTGTACCAAACTGGCGTTTGGTCTGTCCGATGTATTCGTTGTCACAGTCATTGCGAGGAATAGAATAAATGGCGTCGGTTCGTTGTTCTTTCGTGACAAGACCCTTAGGTTTGGCGAAAATATGCCCCAAAGTCTGAAAAGGTTTTTGAACAACTTTAACGTTGTGGCTATTCAAAATTCTCTCGATGGGTTCCGTAACACCCTGTATGTAAGGAATAACAGCAAAACCAGTCGCTGGTTCCCTTTCATCTAGAGCGTTTCTATTTGTAACTGGTTTTTGGCAGTTACGGAGAAAAGTTTTTGTATAGTCATTTGCCTTTAGGACACTGGAAACATATTTCCTCTCCTCAGCCTTCGAATCGAGTGAAGATGGTAGACAGTCAGCCCTCCTAAGTAAAGTTTTGGCTACAGACTTTTTATGGCAAATAGGGTGGTGAGAATCGAAAGCGAGGTATTTGTCGGTGTGGGTGGGTTTACGGTAGACACTTGTCTCTAAATTACCCTGAACCCCTCTGGACACATTTAAATCAAGAAAGGGCAAATGTCTATCCTTTTCACGCTCAAGGGTGAATTGGATCGACGGCTCTACTGAATTCAAATGCGACAAGAGGCGCTCCGCTTCATTTCCAGATACCGTAGAAATAACATCATCGACATATCGTTTCCAGAAAAAGGGTTTAAAGGGTTTTAAAAGGGTTTTTAAAAGGGTTTTTAGAAGGGTTTTTAAAAGGGTTTTTTAGAAGGGTTTTTAAAGGGTTTAAGGGTTAATATATAATAATATTAACACCGCCCACGCTCCTTTAAATCGTGACGATGGCGGTTTGCTTCCTGACGCCTATTTACACCTCGTCAGAAAAAAGGCCGCTAACTAGTGATCATATAAAAGGACCTCTTGTTGCAGCGTTTAGATCATCCCAGATGAAGGCACTAGACAGGAGTGTCGAAACGTTGGGTCTATGAATTGTAACTTCTTCGGTTACATTCATTAAATCTACAAACCAGTGTAGCATCAAACTATGCATGTCTGAAAGAAATATTAGCTCCTTTTTTGTGTATGAAGCACCAAATATTAGGCAGTAAGCATAAGTGAAGGACTTCATTGGTAAAGAAAGAAATACTAGCTTCTTTTTTGTGTATGAAGCACCAAATATTAAGTAGTGAAGGACTTTATCGGTAAATCTAAACCCTGGGAATGAAAATAGAACCAAGATGGTTGGCGCAATTTTACTTTCCTCGCTTATATACATCCTTTTTCTTTGCATAAATGATATCATCCTCACTTTCTCTCTGACTGATACTCACAATGCTTTTACAGAGTTCAACCGTGCACGGTCTGGGTACTACATTTTAAAAAAGTTAAAGGTTTTCTTTGCTTCCTTTGAGAAAGTAGTGCAACGGTTACGAATGATAGTAACAGGAAGGGAAGGAATGTGATCCGACTCTGGTTGGGGAACGGTATTGCTCGTATCAGTCTCCGAGGAAGTTCGAAGAATTACATTCCATTGTCAGATAAATACCTTACCCCAGGGAAAATATCCTGTCGTTCATCATTCCTTACGGTTAATTCAGTGTCTTAACTAAGCTCAACTCTTATTTGGATCTATAAGAGGGCGGCAGCGGTTTCTAACCCAATAATAATGCGTTGCAAAAGCAAAACCGCAGACACTAGTTCAGCACGGTTTTTTCAAGAAAAATGTGTCTTTTGGTGGCAAGTTAGTGCTAAAACTGGGGTCTTTTTTCTAAAAGAAACGTTTCGTCTTTGTTTGCTTTGGCCGCTGGTCTTCCTGTTCGCTGTCTATGTCGAACTCGTTCTCCAGTTCGTTTTCCTCTCTTACAGCTCATTCTTCTTGCCACACACTTCATCCTCGTTGCCTTCCAGAGGGTTAGATTTGCTGTACTGCTTGAAAGCGTTAACGACCAAATCAGCGGTTATCTCTTCCCATGCTTTGTGGATCCGGAAGTTTTTTTTCAGACTTCAGAAATAGTTTTCCAATTGATGACAATGGAAACTTTGACCCGGGTGTCCTCGGTGATCTATTTGTAGCTGTTCCAAGACACATGAATCCTTTACCTGACTGCTCTGACGATCTCCTGTGGCTTGGTTCTATTAATTACAGGACACCTAATCGGTATAAAAACACTGCTGGAGTTCAGGGTTTTCCATCATTTTGAACGCTTCCATTACTGCATATGAAAACAATCAATCAGCAACACCTGATTGTTGCTCAGGTACTCTACAAACTATGTATATAGATACATGTAACTTACAATTTAGGGAATATATCACATTGACGTTATCTTCGTCAGCGGTGGTTTAACATTGAAGAAATGTAAAATGGTTTCCGTGTTTACATCAGGCTATGTGAACGCGGAAACCATTTTACATTTCTTTTGTAAAATAACTAATGAAAGAGGAACGAAAACCGTGTTTACATACGCTCATGTGAAATGGTTTTATGGCCAATCAGAGCGCGCGTACTATTTGAATTATTTTATAAAGACTAATTTGGAATAAAAGCTTAACTATACTCGCAGCTTTAAGCGAAGCGCTGGCTTTTAGCTATCGGAAGTATAGGTGCACAAGTCATGCTTGTGCGCGTGACAGTATCTGGAATCTATGAAATCTGTTCTACGCTCCTGTGGATGAAATGCATGAAATCGAAAGAAACATCTTAACCCACCATTTCGCTTATGTACCAATGCCTTTTGCCAACTATGTTAACTTGGCTGTAATGTAAGTCTATGTATCGCCAAGCTAACTGGGCTGCTCCTGTTTTTCAAATTTCTAATGCCTTTATTACTTATTTGCAGGCCAGCGGTAATTTCCCAGTCCTAAATTGCAAGGAATTTGTATTTGCGGAAAATAGAGACGGTCGGAAAATTCATCCTTCAGTCCAAAAGAAATAGTGACGGTGAAGCTTTTCGCAACGAGTTTTGGTTGGCCCCTGCCGACTGCTGAAAAATCACCAAGTGAGGCTTGAAGCTTGTGATTTAAATTGTGGCAGTTTTATCATGAATGGGCCACTTATTGGTCAGCCTGCATTGGATCTCAAGGATGAGGCCAAATACTTAGAGTCTGATGGAACCGTAACGTTTCTTTTGGAAGCGAAGGATCCGAAGAACAACAGGACTTATATTGATGGACAGCTTAATTTTTTTAGATACTCGTTCGATGATGAAAAGTTGACAGACTGTTTACAGATGTGCAATGCTGATCCTTTTAAGCTTCGTAACTCGCTGATTGCCATTAGGGTGTTTGACGGGTACACAACTGATGGCGAACCAACCTGGTTAGATCATGTCTACCCTATATTTAAACAGTACGCCAACATGTTTCCTGATGATGATGATGAGAACTTTGTAGAGTTAGAAAACTATCATGAAGTCATTTATTACCGACATAGGATCCAGAAATGTCTTGAATTGCCTGAATCCCATCCAAACTACATGCCCGTTACTCGTGACCTGTCAAAGACCAAAAAGGATGTTATCTTAAGATGGCTTCGTCAACGACACCCCCAGGTAGGTAATCCAGACAGCCTTTACACAATGGATCAGCTCCGCGAAGATCTACAGATTGCTCTTCAGCTAGAGCATTCAACGTTACTTCAATACATGACAGCGTGGGCCTCCATCAAGAAAAGCTACAACCAGCAGATAAAAAGAATCTTAAGAGAAATTATAATACAAAAAATTATGAATAACTGTCTTTTGGCCAACATCCTCAACGCTGTGGAGGAAACCCCTCTTACTATTTCAAGGATTTTATCCCCAATTACCCATCTCGACTTCTTGGTGGGGTACATCCTGACCTAGTTGTGCCTATAGAAAAGATCTCCCTAGCTTTGATAAGGAATATCTTCTTGAAAATTGAGCAGCCAGAATTTGAACTCCAAGACAAGCTGGGGCATGTGTGGGAGTGTGTTCGCCGCAGTAGATCCAGTACGATGGATTGCCAGAGGACAGATGAAGGTGAAGGCTGCTCCAACGGTGACATCAATAACTACCAAGGCCATTGTCACCATCCAACTGATAGGGACCATATCGCAAACTATGGTATACGAGGTGAGCCGTAAAATTGAATATTTACGAGGCCTCTAACTCTTATTTACTCCTTTATTCATTAACTTTAGGTCACCAAACTGATGCTATAGAACGTTTGCGTCAAGCGGCAATGGCTACGAATTCCGAGAGTATAAACGGAAAGGTAACATTTGGGTGAATTGCAATTCTGGTGGTTATTTACAACAAGGAGGAAATTCTCCATATGATAGCAAAATAAAGTGAAAACCGTACGAAAACTGCAAGGTAGGGAATTTTTTCTTGACCTCCTTAAGTTCTGCTTAAAAGTCCGATTGGAACATCTGAAACAATATAAAAATACCAAACCAGCGATCAGTTCCGGCAATATCTTTCATTTGTCCTCAATGAGTTTCTCAGCCATGTTTTCAGAAACGATAACTGATTATTCAGAAAAGACTCAGAACATTCCTTTGTTCAAATATCACTACTCTTGACAATAGCTCTTAACTAAGTGCAATAATGAAACTTGCTTTTTAACTTACTTCATATAGCACTGGGTTAAAGCAACTGATTTTATGTGATCATTCGTATTTACATTTTTGCACCACTAGCTATGTTTTGTCGTTGAAATAATCGCAGTTTTCTTTCCTCTTTATACTTAGCTTCCTGGTGGAAATACAAAGCAATTCGTCCACCATTATAACACAGTTGAAAACTTTTACCATCACATCTTGAGAGTCCTGGGAAACTTGGCAAATTGTGGAAAAAAATAATGATATATTTACCTGGAACCAAAGCAAACAAGTTGTTGCTTTCCGGTCAATTGACGAGCATTTCAATTTACGATTACCACATTGCAGTTGACGCTATTCAAGGTATTATTGAACAGGGTGAAGGCAGCGATCCCTGTAATACATTAACCTGTAATAAGAATGAAAAGAAGGATCTTTCACATTACTTCTTGTTTAAATCAGTCGTGGAGGGGCGAGGCATTCAAGTGGTGAAGGAAAGTACTGGTACCACCATTAACATTGCTAATGCCTCTCATCGAACTGACAAACCTAAGGTAAGTCATCGCCACCAAAAAACAAACAGAGCAATGGGGAAGGGAGGAAGGTGATGAATTAGCCAAACTTAATATGTGTTTTACCTTATACAGCCTTGTAATGGTACTTGCTACTTCAATGGCTCTGAGATAAGCTTTGATCCAGAAGGTATCTGGCCAATGATTCCCAACCGTAGGTTGTCAGATTATACTCCTGGGTCAAAAGCATACAGACAAGAAGTGCTATTCAACAAAGCGTACACAAAGCTTCTCAAATCACTGGAACACGCCTTTAATGGTCACCCAGAGTCACTAGAAGATGCTATTGGCCTCATGTACGGAGTTGAACTTCACTTGAAAACTCTGCTGCGCACGCCTGTTGACGACAACGGTGATCCTGACATCGGACCCAACGCGTCTCCAACTTTTGAATTTACACCGTGAAGCATAGACTGTCATTAACTGGAATATACTCGTGTGCATTGAACAACCCTCTCATCATTATGCGTATTCGATGGAACTACTTAGATCACATTTCTTTTTCTTTGCGTTATATTGAGTTAATCATATATTAAAGTGATAAAATATTTCTCAATTTCATCATTTACATGCCGGTGGCTCCCTCTGATTGTAGGTTCTGCAATTACATACATTTTTCATTTTATAGAAGCCTACACCTGGAATATAAGATTTCAGGCCGAACTTCATGATCTTAGGACCATCACAATTTAATATTTGCTGGTTGTTTTCCATTCATTTGTCGTCATCCGACAAACAATATCCTGCATGAGTGCACAAATCAATTTAAGATTAGGAATGTTTCTGCTCACCCTGTAGACGAAGGGCGAAAAGCCCTAAAGATCTGTGTACATCTGCATAAAAATGAAGAGTCATGCTATGCAGTTTGATCACTTCTGCAAGCGGAGCAGTGTAAATGGCATACAACATAGGTCCGAGCACTGAACTTTCTGGGACCCTATAAAAGCGATCATAAGGGCGTTAATGGTCGTTGAACGATCCGGATTTTGGAGCCTTTCGTCTCAACATTAATTATCATACATAGTTTGATGCTACTCTGGTTTGCAGATTTAATGAATGTAACCGAAGAAGTTACAATTCATAGACCCAACGTTTCGACACTCCTGTCTAGTGCCTTCATCAGGGGTGATCTAAACGCTGCAACAAGAGGTCCTTTTATATGATCACTAATTAGCGGCCTTTTTTCTGACGAGGTGTAAATAGGCGTCAGGAAGCAAGCCGCCATCGTCACGATTTAAAGAGCGTGGGCGGAGTTAATATGCCAAGCCTCCAAACAAAGGCGCTGGTGGCAACGCCGATTAGTGGTGATAATTGTAGAATTATCCCACCCAATTTTATGGTTAGTTAGGCATGTATGCTCCGATAAAGCTGAATTTTCCTTTTTGCAAAGAAAAACCGCTTTTTGGTGCTCTTTTAACCTTGTACCAAACTGGCGTTTGGTCTGTCCGATGTATTCGTTGTCACAGTCATTGCGAGGAATAGAATAAATGGCGTCGGTTCGCTGTTCTTTCGTGACAGGATCCTTAGGTTTGGCGAAAATATGCCCCAAAGTCTGAAAAGGTTTTTGAACAACTTTAACGTTGTGGCTATTCAAAATTCTCTCGATGGGTTCCGTAACACCCTGTATGTAAGGAATAACAGCAAAACCAGTCGCTGGTCCCCTTTCATCAAGAGCGTTTCTATTTGTAACTGGTTTTTGGCAGTTACGGAGAAAAGTTTTTGTATAGCCATTAGCCTTTAGGACATTGGCAACATATTTCCTCTCCTCAACCTTCGAACCGAGTGAAGATGGTAGATAGTCAGCCCTCCTAAGTAAAGTTTTGGCTACAGACTTTTTATGGCAAATAGGGTGGTGAGAATCGAAAGCGAGGTATTTGTCGGTGTGGGTAGGTTTACGGTAGACACTTGTCTCTAAATTACCCTGAACCCCTCTGGACACATTTAAATCAAGAAAGGGCAAATGTCTATCCTTTTCACGCTCAAGGGTGAATTGGATCGACGGCTCTACTGAATTCAAATGCGACAGGAGGCGCTCCGCTTCATTTCCAGATACCGTAGAAATAACATCATCGACATATCGTTTCCAGAAAAAGGGTTTAACCGGTGAAGTGGCTAAGGCCCTTTGTTCCACGTCTTCCATTACCATGTTAACAATGACAACAGAGATGGGCGAACCCATCGCTGTACCAAAAACTTGTTGATAGTAGGTGCCGTTATATGTAAATTGCGTGGTTTTGAGGCAAAAAGACAGCAGATGAATAATATCCTCCACAGGCAAAGAAGTGCACGCATAATGGCGGTCACGTTTTGCTGTAGCTCCAAGGTTCAAAGAGGTTTTCTACTTTTAGGCTTGGTTTTAACACATCTAAATGTCATCCATAATGCAGCTAAGTATCCTCTTCATCAGTACACTACCTTGATTGTACCAGAAACACTAAGTACTGCAATTGAGGGCGTTATTTGTCTTCGGACTCCTGCCGGCGACAACAACTTCAAGCCCGCGACTTCTGGCGGTTTTTGTAAACGCAAGGGTTCCTGGAGTTCATGCAGAGTTTTGTACTATGCAAACTCTGTGGCTACTACACAGATACTTTTACTTTCTGGTGATGTAGAGTTAAATCCGGGATGGCGAGGCATATCTACGGAAGGTGAAGATTATTTACTCAACTTTGCGAGTGAAATCAACCGTGGTTCAAATAATTTCAGTATAGCACAATTGAATGTTCGAAGCTTGAAGAACAAGATCGATGAAATCAAACTATTACTTAAAGTGTGTCGTTTCGACATTTTAGCAATTACCGAAACATTTTTAGACGCGAGAATATCGAACAAGCAACTACATGTGGATAACTATAAGATTGTTAGAAGGGACAGAAATACGGGACAGGATGGAGGTGGCTGCTTGATTTACATTGCGAGCCATATTTGTTATTCAAGGCTCAAATCCCTAGAGCCCCTGATGTTGAATTAATCTGGATCAAAATTATGCATAATTCGTCTGCGTTGATATTAGGAAATTGTTATCGACCTCCTTCTGACTTCCAGTTCTACGAACGATTTTGTGATTGTCTGGAGAAAATGTGGCTTAGGCACAGGAATGTGGTGCTTGTCGGTGATTTTAACTCGGACTATTTTCGTAGCTACAAGGGTGTTACATCATACGCCGGTAGAAGATTACAAGATATACTCCAGCAATTCAGCTATAGCGTAATGAACGATAGGAGCCAGCCAACAAGAGTTACAAGTGAGACAAAAACACTGATTGACTTGGTTATTACCAGCAAGCCGGAGATTATCAAAGGAACCATTAAAACAACTGAGTTGGGAATCTCAGATCATAAGCTGGTTCTTGCTACAATATGGTCCAAAATAAAAAGGCCGCCTCCAAAGATAGTCAGGGCCCGCACCTTCAAAAGATTTGATCAAGCTACTTTTGTGAAGGATATCGAGAGTGCCCCGTGGTCAGTATGTTCAGTGTTTAACGATCCAGACGACTGCTATTGGGCGTGGTCACGCATATTCAAAGATATCTGTCAGGTGCATGCGCCTTACAGGGGAAGTTAAAATTAGGAGCGTCTCGGTACCTTGGATAACACCGCAAATACGGCACTTGATGAATAAACGTTTCAAAATGCTTAAAATGGCACAACGTCTGGGTGATCCAGACCTGTGGGCTGAGTATTCGGAGTTGCGGAATAGAGTGACACGGGAAGTGAGGCTTTCTAAGAGCAGATACTATTTGGAACTGTTCAATGAAGTGAAGGATTGTAAATCCTACTGGAGACTGGTAAAAAATGCGACAAACGGCAAATCGATTACCCCGATATTAGGGATCAGGAATGCGGATGGAAAAGTTGTCACCTCCGATCTGGACAAAGCGAACATACTTAATGAACATTTCTCAACTATAGGCGAAAAACTGGCCAACGAATTGCCGAATACCAACTCGACACAAAGTAACGTTCATGTATCTACCGTCGCGCCTTGTGTTATGAACATAAATTTATCGCAGGAGGTTATTGTTAGTTCGATGGCTAAGTTGAGGGCCGATAAAGCCTCTGGGCCCGACAGAGTTGCTCCAAAACTTTTAAAGTTTGCCGGTGACTCAATTATTCCATCTTTATTGTCTGTTTTTCAAATAAGCGCCACCTGCAACAGTGTACCGGCTACTTGGAAGGCTGCAAACATCTCAGCTCTCTATAAAAGTGACGATGAAACCGTTAAGCAAAATTACAGGCCTATCTCGCTATTAAGTGTACCAGGAAAACTGATGGAGTCTATGGTGGCGTCAACTATTACCACGCATGTCACTGAACAAGGACTTGGGAACCCTCACCAGTGGGCGTATAAAAAAGGTCATTCCACCGAGCTGTTGTTAGTGAAAATAACGGATGACTGGAGACAAGCGATCGACAAGAAACATGTTGTAGGCGTGGTTTTTGTAGACTTTCGTAAGGCGTTTGACGCAATTCCCCACTCCATTCTGCTCCGAAAACTTCAAAGTCTTGGTGTAGCTGGGGACTTGTGGTGTTGGATAAGAGATTACCTCTCTGGAAGAACGCAAGTAACGACGATTAATGGGTGTCAATCTCAAGCTATGCCAGTTACTTTTGGTGTACCTCAAGGGTCGGTGCTGGGCCCTACCCTGTTTTCCATCTTCTGTAATGATCTGCCCAATATCACTGAGGGAATAGATGGTGACCCACAGCTTCACATGTACGCAGACGATACCACCGTCTATGTCTCAGCTCCGACCTACGATTTGGTGGCCTCCAAGTTGAATGAAGTACTAGCAAGGCTATATACCTGGTGTTGCGAGAACTGTCTCCTCCACATCCCACCAAGACGGAATATATATTGCTTGGTGGACGCGGAAAATTTACTGGGCCAAAACAAGCTATTAAGATAGGTGATTATGTTGTCGGGGAGGTTGTTTCTGCAAGATGCCTAGGTGTTCAGATAGATAATGCTCTTAAATGGGATCATCATGTATCGGAATTAGCTAAGTCATATACGCAGAAGTTGAATTTACTTAAATCCTTGTATTTTCTTCCTATACAGGCAAGAATTGATTTCTATTTTAAGGTTATTCTGCCGTCTGTGACATATGGTATGTTAGTTTGGGGCTCTTGTGGTCGAGTATTTTCTCAAGCTTAGAATCTATACATGTTAGAGCGGCGAAAATAATATTTAACTTGGATTGGTGTACTCCAAGCAAGGAGGTTCTTGCCACAGTAAAATGGAATACCTTAGAGATTATGTATGAGAAACGATTACTAATCTTAGCGCATCAGGCTTATTATAATCTTTTGCCACGTCCTATGAGCCGTCACTTTGAAAAGTATGTAAGTAGCTACGACTTCAGGAGGAAAATGACATTTAAGTTACCTAGACCTAAGACCGATATGGTCAAGAAATCATGCTCATACAAGTCAATTACTCGGTGGAACGCTCTGGAAAATCAAATGAGATCAATTCAAGACGTTGACGCTTTTAAAAAGTCACTCAAGTGAGTTTTACTGGTAGGATCAGAGTTTAAGACAGCATACGTACTCTTGTCATTAAGCAGAGACAAAGCTTTGTCGTGATATTGCTGTTTGTCCATAACCACAACACAATTACCCTTGTCAGCAGATAATACGAGCCTGTCCGGATCCTTTTTGAGAGCTATAAGCGCATTGAAAACATCCTTTTGAATGTTCTTGGGAGGAGGTTTAGCACGCCTAAGTATGCTACTTACTTTTGCTCTTACCAAATGCCTGCGACCGTCGTTGAGTTGAGAGATACTCTCCTCAACAGCGGCGACAATTTCGGCGGTCGGTATTTTGCGAGGAGCATTAGCAAACTTCAGACCCTTCTTTAAACCACTCCGTTCCAGCGCGGATAACTCCTCGGAGGAAAGGTTCGTGACCCATTTATCTTTCAGAGATGAGCCTGAATTAACAGGAGACCTCTTACTGAGCAAGTGACGGAGTTTTCTGTCGTGTTTCTCTCTCTGTTGGTAAACGTCTGCTGTTCGAAAGAACTGCAGAACTCCTCGACCCAGGAAGTTTCGGAGTTGTTAATTTAATGTTTATTGATGAATTAATTAATCTAACGTTAATTGATTAACAACTCCGAAACTTCCTGGGTCGAGGAGTTCTGCAGTTCGAAACGTCAGCTTTTTTACCCTTTACGGTGGCTAATTTACGTTTTCAACTCAGTTGTTAACACTAAATTACCTGCTATACTCTCCCACCGACGCAGCACCACAGTTTCTTTAGAAACTTACTCCTTTACGAAATTACTCTTGGATTGGTGGTCGCCAGCTGCGACCAGTTTACGGTCAAGTCAAGTCGCCCGAAAGTCATCTCGCCCGAAGTCATGTCGCCCGAAACCAGAGTCATGTCGCCCGAAATTCATAGTCATGTCGCCCGAAATCCTAAGTCATGTCGCCCAAAATTTTATCGAGTGTTTAAACTTGAAGAAAATAGCATCTTAAGTAAATCGCAAAGAATAAACTCGTAAAATTTGACTCGTGGAACTCAGGTTGTTCGTTTCGTTTTCGTTTGATATCACGGAGATAGTAATCCTAAAATCGATGCCGCAAGAGAACATGCAACGCACAACCAATCTATTTTTCCTTTAGTTATTGCCAAGCGGTAGGTGGCTTGGTCGATACCAATCCCGCAGATACGATGCTGCCAAAAGCCGCAATCGTCGCACTGAAAGGCTTGCTGGCGTGGTCGAACTTCATTTCCGCACTCGATACAGGGATGAAGGCTCATTGTATAATTCTTTTGCGTACGCGTAACGATCTCGTGCTTCAGCTAGCTGATTATCTCGGAATGAGGTGGCTGTTATTAATTTACCCTCTTTGTATGTGGTTAACCGGATCAAAATTTACATGCGACCGGCTGAGGAAACAAGGAACAACTGAACAAGTCGCGATAATTTATGCCGCGTCTGATCCTAAGGGGAATGATGCTAACACGCTTTGTTCGCGTGGTTAACAATAAACAAAAAAAAACCGCTGTAAAAGTTTCAGGTTGTTTTTTATACGATAAATCAAACTAAGAGAACTTGATGTATCTTTCTGATGTGTGTGAAAATTTCTGATAACTGAAAGTGTTCCGCTTATAATTACTAAAATCTGTACTGTAGAATGAGCAGTTTAGTTCATAGCAACGAACAACGCTGAAATTAACAGCGATATTTGAGTCTTTGTTTAACTTCATATTTGCATAGGTTAGCGGACGAAAACATTTTACGAGTCAACATTTACGAGGTTACTCCTTACGATTGTTACTTTTCTTCAAGATTAAACACTCGTTAAAATTTCGGGTGACATGACTCTAGTTTCGGGCGACATGACTTCGGGCGAGATGACTTTTGGGCAACTTGACTTCGGACCGCCTCCACTTGTCTCCATTTCTTCTGGTAACAGACTCCAGCCAAAAGTAATTCCGTTAGAGGGCACTCCAAACGGCTCATGAAGGCGAAAAAATACCACAAATGCATTGACTAATATTTCCTTTAATTTTATTGAGAGAATGTATCATTCCACTGAGTTATTCTGTGATTGTGTTCCTGATAAATAGTATCCACCACAAGGCTGGAAATCATACTTAGCTCTGGAACCGGGCGGCCGAATCGTGGAATTAAATCCCTGAGTCTACATGGGTACGCAACCCTTCAATTCCATCGCATATTGTTCCTTGTTGACATATAAAGTAGTTAGGAAGATGTAGGGCCTTACAAAGGACGGGAAGGTCACTCTTACGAAAACAAAACTCGGATAAACACTCACTGTCATCCATATCATTAAGGTCAAATTTCCCATAACCTTCATAAGGAAAATCTTGGTTTTTGGATGTGTTAACGTCATAAAGAAGGAACTCGTCCTTTGATATATCGCCATCATCAAAACTTTGCAGAAGAACGCTTCGAATCTCTCTAAAGGAAGCCATGACTGAAGTACTTTATGATAAAAATTGAAAATATATGAACAATGCCGCCCGCGCCTTCGACTTGGTCTGTTAAGGATTTTTCGCGCCTTGCGACAGCAACCTCTTCCCAGTCCCCCCTCGGTCATGAAAGCCGTCGTGGACATCCGCCGTCCTCGGATCTTAAGGTTCCTAATGTTAACGCCCAGTCCTTCATCTTCTGTATGCTCTGTGGTGCCATCGGCACAGGTGGTAACGGTTGAACTGCTGGTATGGCCGACAGGATCATCGGATACAGGATACCAAGAATGTGGATTTGTCAAATAGCACGCCGCTCAATGGGTTGTCCTCATTAAGCCTTCTGTGGCTGCATTTCTAAAGTTTCTTGGGTAATCTAACACCTTGAAAAGTTTATCTTTTTGATGCACAAGCGAGTGAATATTCTCCACATCTAGTGTCGTGCAACTCAACAGGTTAACAGCGTCATAACGGTAAAACTCTGAAACTTTCTGGGCAGCCCGACCGCCTCTTGAATGCTAGAGAGTCCGTGCACTTGGTACTTTTCATGAACTGAGAGATCAATTTCTTCATAAATTCTCGTTAATGTACTTCCCGGTTCTCGGTTCGTTTAAGTGATTATTCCCCGAATCCCGCTCTTCAAAATCGCCGATTCTCGTGTCCCGTTCATAATGGCAATCTCGCTCCCTTCTCAATTCCCGAATTACGGCCTTTAAATAAGCCCAATCCCGGATACCGAAAAACCTATTGGGGACCCTCTAGAAAGGGATGTACTAACCATAGTGTATTGGCTGTTGTTAACGTATGATGGTAAAGTTTTTACGATAAGAGCCACAATTTTGTCTAAATAGCCTGAAATAAGCTCGATGGGACAACTTCTGGCCGAGACAGTGGATCAATGTATTCGCTCTGATGATGAGCTAACGCTTCGCTCTGACGAAGGGCTGAAGCTCAAAACGTCAACTTTGAAAGTCTTTACGATGGCCAATTTACATTATCAACTCAGTTGATAATACTAAATTAACCGATAAATAAGATTGCTTTTTTGTTATACATGGTACAAAATGCCAAACATCTAACTTTTCTTGTATTTTATTGGACGGAACAGGACAAATGTTAAAATAAACCAGGTAAATTTTAATCACACACTTATTTCCGTACATGGAAACCAGACAATCTTCTTACAACAGAAGTATTCACCTCTTCATGAATCTCTCTGACATACTTTTAAAGCAAAGTAATAACGTAAACATGGATGAACGTTCAAGATTCTCCATCGACGCGAAAAAAAATGCAACCAACTTAAGTAACAGTTGTCTGACAGTAAAGTAAAAATACGTTACCTCTCATAAAATGTGAGATAACAAAAAATAGTTTATGCTATACTGCCACCTGAATTACATGTGTCCCTTTGTAATCATTACGGTACAATAGTCAGTAATTTCATAACATAACGGCAACATTTTCCTAGAAGTTAAGAAGGTGCGCTGAGGTCAACCGTATGTGAGGCACGAACCGGCGAAACAAGACCAGTCCTTAGCACTGACTTCTTCAGTGTTCCTAATGACTATAGTCGTGAACATACAAACCACTGCCGTCTATCATGAAGATCCGTATCCGAGAATAACAGCCTCATCAATAAGGCAGCTCACGCGTCAAAATCCGTCCCATTCTTTTCGCATTCTACTGATCGAGCTGATCGGGCAGCGACTCAGTAACTTTCCTCTCCCCAACGCTATCTTTTTTACAACAAAGGAAAAAAGTTTTCAACGACAACTTACAGCTTTAAATGCCTACGCTCTAGAGCTACAGAGAAAAATACGACTGGCCAACATTTCCCCTATATTCCTTCCGTTAATACGTTGAATTCAAGTTAACCTAAGCTATAAAATTAGCGTGGTACAACAACAGGACACCCTACTGTAGATTTATTGTTATAAGAATACTGACAGGAGCCAGCTTCAGACAGTGAATGACAGTTCGCGATGCTTTTGAATAAGGGAGATGGTGTAGTGTTGCAGCTTACCGTCTCTGTTAGGTCCTCAATTCATCGCCCTATCGAGTTCCATAAGAAGTCCTGGAAGAACTTCACATCCTGGTTCTTGGAAGCCGTGATATTCCTCCATTTCCCTGTCGGCCAAGTCACGACGCCTCCGTCCAGTCTCATCTCGCTCCATAGGCAGCCGATCAAGTTGCTGAAGTCGGTCACGTGCTCCGTTTATATCTATCTGCAGCTGAAGATCTTCTGCTATTCTCAAAGCCTTAGACTCTAGACGGATGGCTGTGGATGGAAACAAGAATACAGACAGAAAACAGACTAATCTCTTTATTTTCTCCTATTCATATTCTCCTTTATTTCAGTAGTATACGGCGGCACTATTGTACACAACCAATTAAGGAAGATAATTTGTACCAAGTGTTACAAATGAGCCAATCATATAATCGGATAAGCTTCCAAGATGGCGATTTGATGTCACGCAATCTCTTTGGATGCCAATCCGGCCACATGATTGGTTCATTTGTACCGGATTGTATATAATCCTGCTCTCTGATTGGCGGTGTACCATAGTTTCCCTGTATTCTACTTAATTTCTTGATCACAATAACGTTAGCTTGACTTGGGACTTTGTGTTGCGAAAAAAAGAGAGAGCCTATACCATTTGGGTATCAGTCTTACGTCCTTTTCATGGTAACAAACTTGAGACAGAAATCCACAAAGGCGTCAGAGAGTGATGGAAAAGAAAACAAATGGAAGATACTGGGCTTATCACATCACATACGCAGGAGAGATCATAATTACAGACATGGATACAGTGAATTTCAATTTTAATCTCGGTTCAGTCACAGCTTACATGTACAATGTATTTTAAGTGCATACGAGAAAATGAACAAGGGTAAAATAAAATCTTAAGAGATGGCAGGCTGGCCCCAGTATTGCAGTCATTGAAGAAATAAGTCATTGGCATGAAAGCAATAAGGCTAACAACTACAAACAATGTCACATAAGCCCAATTTAAGTTTGGGTCTTTTTCAAGTCTCAAGTTACTCAAGTCTCATAAATTGTGATGCACCCTCAAAATTCAAATTTGCAATACTCTGTAACAAATAATATTCTTAAATATTCTTCCATGACCAGTATATGCAGTAATGGTGTCTTTTATTATTAGTTTCCATAATTACCATTGAACTGATATCGTGTAATGTATCTTGAGAATGTAAAACTTAAAACTGTACAAACCTTCTTCATATTGTCCTTTTCTTGTTAGCAGATCACCATAAGCAATATAAAACCCTGCCCTATCTCTCATAGGACAATTGGTCAGAAAATCTCTCTTGAACTGTTGAGCATACTCATCCGCTATTGCTAAAGCCCTTTGGGACACATCTGTCTGAAGGTTGGTGGCTTTGTCTTTTTTTGAGCGAAGGTAGTGGAGTATTGCCCTGATAAGAAATCTTCTGGGACTCCTCGCAATCCTGCTTTGATTCCTTTCAAGTCGGTGTCCGGAGCGCAGTGTAACATCCTTCAGGAATTCCTCCAACTTCTCTTCTTCTGATTTGGTGATTCCCATGACAGCTTCCTTCTCGCACAACAGAGCAGCAAACCTGGTGCGGTTGATTGGAGTCTCTTCATTGGGAACAACTGCCTGTAACAGCTGCAAGTAACGAAAAAGTTTGCAATGCTCAAGCCTTCCCCCTACTGCTAGCTTCCTTTAAACATAGGCATGAGTAGCATGCAAGAGTTATCTTTTTGGCTGGGTAGGTCGAAATGGCACCCTTTTTTCCCTAATGTTTTCATAACTTTCCAAAGATTGAAAATATCGCATTACTTCACTTCAAGAGAAAGAGAAAAAACATAATTTACCTACATTCACACAGGTATTTTGTAGTCTATTGTCTCAATACTTCTGAGCAAAAATAAAATACACCAATTGCAGCAGACCACCATGATATATATTGCTGTGCCGGAGCCAGTCGACCCCATCGCCCGAAGAAGACTTGCAGTAAGCAATGGAAACGTCGCGATCTACATCTAGTGACTTTGTCGTGAGACAACAGAACAAATTTATATTATCAACTCGTACATAATGTCTTACTTCTCTTATTGTTCTGCTATTTGGCTCAATTGTAATGAGTCTGATAATAAGAAGCTGGAAAGGCATAATGCAAGAGCTCTAAGGTGGGTCTACAACAAACGGGCGCCCCTTTATGGTAATGATGACTACCGTTTAACTTTTTCCAATCGTCGACAACAGGACATTACTATATTGATTTTTAAAGCTGTAAGCGGCATGTTACCGGAATGTATAAGCATTGCTTGTTGTCAGACTTGTTTGTTGTACGAAAAAAAGTGAAAAACCTAAAAGGGACCAAGAAGCTCGTGGTCCCACGTAAGAATACTACAACCTTTGGCTTAAGATCTTCATCTTTCATGGGTGCCAGAGAGAGGAATTCCTTACCGGATGAACTACGCTCAACGACAATTCTTAGGGAATTTGGGAATTTTGTAAGAGAGCTACATTTGCAATGTACAGTCTATTAAGATCTTCTCACTGCTATAATTTTTAAGAGTTAAGATTGTTTACTTACTTGAATTAGTTAGAAAGTTAGTCATTAGTAATTTTTCAATTTTTCGTTAGTTTATTTTACTTTTTCTTGACATATTAGCATGCACTGTTAGAGGCCTAATCAGCCTTATTAGCCCGAGTTGAAATAAAGTAACTCTTACTCTCTCTTCCTCTCTGTTGGATAATGCGGTTAGCATACGTGATACAATGCAGGTTGTTTACAAGGAAATGGCATGTGATAGAGCGAAGTCTAATGTGGCAAAAGGGAATTTGATTGTTAGGATACAATTAAAGCACGTGAAAAATTGCTTAATTTTCATGTAGAGCAATGATTTGGTATGTTCTGATTGGACTCTGGACGTTGTTTTCATATTACGTAATGGAATGTAAATTGTTTGGCCTGTGCATTGTGAGAAAAGGAGCGGAAAGCACACGTTTTTACTTAAAAATTATTAAATAAAAATAACTGCGAACCTTTCATATCCTGATAAATCTCGACCTTACTCGACGAGGCTCTTGCAAAGGCCGCAATCATAACACTTATCAAATGAGCCCAAAATTTCTGGTTGATGTGATTCTTTGTACACAGCCCCCTGATTCCATGACATCATTTACAAGAAACAATACCCAAACGTTGTGGTTGGTGCATGATATCCAAATGCTGTGATGTGATTGGTGCGAGATACATACCCTAATGCGGCAGTCTGATAGGTGCAACATACATACCCTAATGCGGCGATCTGATTGGTGCGAGCAACATACCACTCTACACGCTAACATGTAAATAGAGCTTTTTTTTTTCATAAAAAAATAACTCAAAAATTGTAGCAACAGGGCTCTGAATAACCTTAGTAGAGCTCAAATTGGGCCCTTTGCATTTATAAGGAATCAAAAGCATCAACCCTTTAACCCCAAAGACAGATTAACATCTAATTTCTCCTTACAATATCACCCCTGAATCAAACATTAGCGTTGAAAGATTAAAGAGAATGGCCTCAAGATAGAGAAACTCTTGATTGACGAACAAATTCTCCTTCTCAGTACCTTAGGAAAGGTATGGGGAACAGTATGGAGAGTATGCATAACAATGCAACAATGTAAAAGTTTCACACTTTAAAAGACACTATGAAACAGAGGATTCACAACAAACCTCAGTAGAGGAATCCAATAGTTCTTCAGCCATCTCAAAGTTTTCTTCCATCTTGTAGACCCCAGAGACAACACTTTTTGCTCTTCCAACAAGTGCGTTATAGTTTGTTGAATGGTTCCTGTTTGCCTGAATACAGACATCTTTACCTGCATGCTTGCATCCTTCAAGATCCCCCATCTGATACAAAATGAGACTTTCCTGAAAAATACATCAAAATTAACCACATAAGAATTTTAAATCTACCATATGGCATTTCCTCAAATAAGTGCCAAGGTGTTTATTTAATCAAGGGGTGTGCGTGTTATTTTCTAGTGCTGATTTTGCTGAAATTGAAGCTCAAAAGTTACAAATAAAGTGGCAATAGAAGCAGGTTTTCCTTGTTTCCCTACTATTTAAGGAAGTGAGGGAGGATGGGGGGGGGGGCACTTATTCAAGAGGGGCGCTTGTTTGACACTGGCTGCTGAAAGGGTGCAGCTGCTATTGAAGTAGCTACAATCATTATCTTACTGTTTAATACATCTACCTCTACTTTCACAGCAAGAAGCAAATCCTGATATTTTGCCTCCACATGATTGGATGTATGTGTATGTTGTATGAGACACAGCATATCTCTTCTGAAGCACTCAATTGCACCTGAAAGTAATATAAATATGAAATATTCATATATTAATATTCCATGAACTTTTAGCCAACATAGCATGGGGAAGGGGGTCTTGTTAATGATTTAGAGTGTGGTAGAACAGGAGTGTTATTCTACACCAACATATAACTCTTCACACATGATGTGTCAACTAATTTTGACAGTGACTGTAAGTTTTAGAGCTCAGTCAATGAGTTGAAAGTCATGTGCTGGTTTTGCCATTACAGGCAAACTGATTATCAAATCCAGTACTTGGGTGGGGAATTTGAACATAATTTTGGCCATTGGGGCAGGAATTTATTAAAACAATCTTGAAAAGATCAAATGCACAGGGGGTTGCCTGGTGGGGCAGGAAGGAGGAGGATGTTGAAGCTTCAAAGAGAATAAGACAGAATTACTTAAGAATTACCATTTTCCACCAATTCTTGAAAATACAGGACAATCTTTTGACCTTCAGGGATTCCAAGAATGCCTAGAAGTATATGCAGTACACAGAAAATTAGAACTGAATTTGGAATTACCATCAGGTGCTGGCTTAAAATAATTTTTAACTTGAAAAAGTCCTCCTGGAAACTTTCTACACACAAAACTTGAGTTACTCTAGCCCCTTTGGCTAATTTATCCACACACTGCCTTAGGAACTGACACTGCAGGCCTATTACCTCTAACAAATGATAAGTAACCACAATGTTCAATGAAATGAATTTCATTTGATCTGCAGATAATAATCAAGTAAAGCAATGGTGGATCCTCATATGTAAAGTGCAATTTAGTATTTGTAGAAGACAACCCTGAAAACATTTAGGCTGTGAGATTATAAAGGGGTTTGTATATGTGAGTGTTTCTCTTGCTACGCAGCCACATGAATCAACTTTTATTGTTGTAATAAATGCACAGTGAGCATACACTTAACCTTGTAGAAAGCCATAACTTACATGCACAATCATATCACAACTACTGGTACCAAGAAAATTAATTCTAAATAACATACCAGCTCAAGTGAAAATTAAATTCAGATGCACATGTACACACAGGAAATGAAAACATACCAACTAATTGCTTTTTGGAGATGGGAGATTCCACCAACGGCAAGGAGTGGCCGTCCCAATAATCAAACAAATTTGTACCTTGATGATGGGTCAAAATGGGCAAAGGAATTGCATCCAGCAATTCTCCAGTTAATGCTCTGAACTTAATGTAAATTTGGTACTCAGCGGGAAAGCGAGCTGGAAAGAGAAACAAAAAATTCCCAGCACAGGAGGGCAGCTCATTCCCACTACAGTCTGTGGACATTGTTTCTACGAAATAATTGCAACCAACTGTTTTCACTTCTGCTTCAATCACACCTCGTCCCCCATTCTGCAAAATGAGCACAAAAAATGGTTTATAAGTTGAACTTCTTTAAAAAGTAATAGTACAGTAACTGCCCATCACTGGTTTAAGCAATCAAAAAGAACTACAAAGTATTGAGATTTATTTGGTCAGCAGTAGTCTCTGAAAATCATATCTACTTTACATTAAAAGAATGAACTCCCATTATCTGCAAGGTCCAGGAATATTAGATCCAAACTTTATATAAACTTGTTTAGTTAGTCCTTTCCTCTTCTACAAATATGCTCCATGATTTGCAAAGCACCAAAAAGAGCCAAACATAGCCCCAGTTAAGAAAAATTTTGCATATAACACTGGCATATGAAACCACTGAAAAAATGTTAGCTATAAAATAATGGCAAGATCAAATTAAAGGCTTGCATATCTGCTTATATAACAATATTCAATAGGGGTTAAATGACTTAGCGAGACTTGAGATAAACACTGATTTGGAAACCACACAGGAATAGAAATATTGCAACTTAAGGGAAAGGTGTCATGGTGATGCAATTGCACTATGAGATGTCTAAGTTTCTGAAAAAGTGGAGGAACTTTTTCAAATTTCCCAGCAGAACTGGTTGCTGAGTTCTGTTGCTCTCCATCTTTCCAATTTGTTGATGATTCTTTTAAAAAAACACACTCTTTTCTTCAAGCAGAATCTACAGCATGATTTTGTCTCCTCATGTCTTCAATAATTTACAGGATAAGGCTACATTTAAAGGGTCCTTCATGTGCATGGTCCTTGGCTATTGCCACCATTGTGGATGAAGGCAAGTAGATGTATTGGAAATCTGCTAGAGCTACCTTCAATGGAGAGATCAGCTTCAATAATCACTAAACAACACTACGCAGTCTTTGTACTCACACTCACACATACTTTATTATTTTGACTGTTTACAGAAAAAATAACTTAACATAGCATGATTTACAATGATATAGAAAAAATACAAACAGAAATTAACAAGAAGAAAGAATATTTAACCGTGCACAGTGTCATGTTAATCATGCTCACTGTCATGTGTAGATATGAGTTGGGGTTGGCTGCATTTTAAGTATAATTTAACTTAATAGTTACATTAAAGACAATATTGTTATCATAAGAGAAGAAAGACATAGTATTACATAAATGCAAGTTATAATAAAAGGATTGTGAAGCATTATCTTATATTGCTAACAGTTTAACTATGGTCAGTTTTGAGTACTCAATAAGAATCTTTTATACTGCTTTTTGAATAGCATGTATGGAAAATGTTTAAATTCAGGTGGTACAGATTCCCAGATTTTTATTGCAGAGAACTTAAATGTAGACATACCATAATTAGTGCATACTGATGGCTTAAAGAAGGTTTGATTTGCAACATACCTGATATTATATGAGTGAATCTCTGATGCAGGTGTGAGAATATTCAGTAGTACAGCTGGGGTGTTACTTTTGTTATTCTGAAGTTTATATGTAAAAAGTGATACTTTTAGTCTGAGTATAAATATTTTCAAGTTTCAAGATTCCAAGAAGATTATAAATAGGGGTTGACATGTTCTCTGTCATGAGCAAAGAACATACTTCGTATACATCTATTCTGCTTAGTGAAGATTTTATTTAATCTAGTTTTGTAAGCAGCACCCCAGCAGGCAAGAGCATAGTTTAAGTATGGATAAATAGGGGTATAATATAACTGTTTGAGCATTTGAAAATCAAGATAGTGTCTTAGCTTATTAATTATCCCTACGTTCTTTGCTAATTTATTATTAACATGTTGAATTTGTGATTTCCACTGTAGATGCTCATCAAGGTATATACCTAGATACTTCATATAGCTTTTGCAATCAATATTGTGGATATCTAAATGTATTTTTTTCTTTGATGATGTTATTAGCATATAATTAGTGTTCTTAAAATTTATAGATAACTTATTAATAGCACAGTATTTAAAAACTAACTTAATCTCTTCATTCATTGTAAATTCAACCTCGTTTGGATTACTACTGGTAAAGAAAATATTAGGCTGTAGGCTGACAGTAAAGACAAAGGTAGCTATATTGTTCACACTGCCAAATTAATCATTCTTTGCTCTCTTGGAAGATGAGGAAAGTCTATTTCAAGCTCTTCTTCTGGAATGTATCTTTTGATTCAATTCTAAGTTATATATTTTCTTGCTAAAATGCATGACGTGAATTAGGTGCATGAAGAGGAGGGTTAGTGAGAATTTCTTACACTGAAGAAACTATGCACAAAACACAACAATACACAACAAAAAAATGCTGTCTTGGATTATTTGAACACTTTTTGAAATTACTGTTGTTAGTATGAGTGACGATAATTCTAAGTGATGAAAATAAAATCTCCAATGGACTTAACAAATTGCAGATATGTTTTCTATGAATATAAGAAAATCATTCAACACGTATATATAAACGGCAATCTTTAAACTACTTATTAATAAACAGTAGCAGAAATAAGGCCTGAAAAAAATTCAGGCATGTCAGGATTTGAACCCATGACCTCTGCAATACCAGTGCAACACCAGAACTGTGAGCGGATCAGTTTCTTTGTGTGATAGAGTAATTTGTGTTAAACTTTAAGACTTTCATTTGCAGCTCACCTCCTGTGACACAATTTGTGCAATTTCTTTGAACACACCAATTTATTATTGTAAAATGTTGCTGCCACAGGAAAAAAAATCCTTTTGTGTGCCAGACATAATGCTTTAATAATTTATCTGCCAGCCTACAGCAATACTGTGATGCAGTTACAAACAAGTGTTTTTTACAGTCATAGAGACTACATAATGTGAGTGAAAATTACTACAGAAACAAGGACTAGAAACTGGGAAGCAAAGTTTACCAACTAAGTTCAACTTGATAAATTAATACAGTGTTAAAAAGGCCAAACTAACTTTCAAGTTTTTGAAAATTGCTATTCTTTGAAATTTCATACACAGCAGGTTTGCTTTGCCCTCTGTTTATGTGACAGCACCTATTACTGATTGAAATAGCTTTGAAGCATGTGGTATGCCCTCCACTTTTGTATCACATACAGGGATTTGATGTATGGGTAAATGCCCACAACTCTTATTTTCTTTCTGAGCTTGAAAGAAATAGAACTGTTTAAATTGTGAAAGCTAGCTGTTGCATCCGGAAAGTAAGGAAAATGAGTTAGTATTGACATCTAATGCAGGCTTGACAATTGACCCCTGGGTAATGAAAAACAAGCTCTTGCCTGAGCTCTTGAGGAGAAATGAAGAACAAATAAGGGAACAACACAATTGACGTCTGACGTCTGATAACTGACAATTATGACTGATAATTGAACAACCTTGAAGCTCAGATACAGCTGATTTTCTTCAATTTTTTTCAATTATTTAGCCTGTGCTGCAGTCAGTCTAAACTGCCAGTTAAGGTTACTAAGCGGAAACTGTACTTTTGACTGTAAACAAAATACCAGTGCATGTAAAGGATTATCAGACTTTTTATTAGATTGTACACAGACTACAAAACTATTCCCTTAGTGATAGGGTAGTCCAATAAATACATGAAAGCAAGTCCAAAAAAGTGCAAGCAACAGAACAGACTGATGACAATTGTGATAAAATACCCTCACTCAGTACCCTAGGGGCTTATGACTGACTAACTATGATTTTTTGGGCAAATTGTTCATAATTCTTGACAAAATAGAGCACTCAGGCCAATAGAATCACTTTGAAGACTCAATTCCCAATGATGCACATTACTAGTTGCTGTCTGAATATTAAAAGGTGGCACTCTATTAAAAGAAAAAGTTACACAGTAATAGAAAATCCTGTTTCATGAAGAGAAAAGGCATTTTCATCATATTTAATGCATCATAATTTTCACTTTCATGGCAGACTACAGCTGGTTGCAATTTTAGATCATGAGAGGAATTTCCACACATTTTATCCTCCAGTTATCTAGGATAACTACAAGTGTTTTTTTGAGTCCTTTACTTATACCTTTATTACATATGCTAGACAATTTACATATTATAGTGCACTGCACATGTACATACCACTTTGAATTGTCCAGGTCCATAAGCACCAAGGCGGCAATCAAACAGTTCATTGTTGCCAGTTATCAGTGCAACCACAACTTGGATTTGAACAAATGGACCAGGAAAAAAATGTGATACCTCAGATGATAGAAGATGTGTAATATGATGACGACAAGCTTTCAAAATTTTAAGCTCATAACCTTCATGCACACAACTGGAATCCAGAGGCCAAGATCCTGAAAGTGGGAGAGTAACAACATTGCAATAAAAACATTCAATACTTGGATGCTATTCTATGCACTTATCATTCTAACTCTATGCAAAAAATTTTTCGACCTTATTCATAGATGTAAATGCACAAGTTTAGATGTAATCTCATACCAAACTCATTTTGCATTTTAAGGTTTACGAAATTTCAAACTTCAATCATTTTGTTTCTTGGTACAGAAGAAACAGCTAATTTCACTTTCGCTTGAACTTCGTAAATTTGAATCCCCAGTTCATCCATCTTTACCGTCAATTACTATCAGCTAACTCAACAAACACACAAATTATCACCTTCAATAAAACTTAAACATTCTTCTAAATTTTCCATGAATTTTCAGTGAGTGCAAGTTATAAGATCCTTCTTAATACTTTCATTTACATTTACATTTATGTGTATTGGGTCAGTAAAATCGTTAAGATATCACACCAACCGTAAAAAGAAAAACAAACAAATAAATAAATAAAATAAGTAAATAAATAAAATAAGTAAATAAATAAAATAAGTAAATAAATAAAATAAGTAAATAAATAAAATACAGATATATCAACATATAAAATAATGATTGGTTTGAATAATAATGAATAATTCCTGTTTCCTCAATCTTTATGACCGGATATTACACTTCTCCAAACAACTTGGTCATAAATTAGGCGCATTTCAGACGAGGTTGGTTTTACATGGACGTAATCCTTCCAGTTGGAATGTTGTTACTATAATTATTGGTTTTTGACGTCCAATCCTGCACTAAAGAGCGATACTATCTGATATTCATCATTATAAAAGTTTAAATGCAAAAAACATCGGAAAAATTCGAACGGAGGAAGTCGAAAGCGAAATTAAGCTCGAAATTTTATATGTGACTGCCAAAGAAATAATTATGCAGGCGACTCTTCGAGATTTTTGCAAATAACCAACTGCATCATATCCCATTGAAATCCAAAATCTTTCACGTACCTTTGGAACTCTCTGGCATATGCATCTTTGGGGAAAGATCTGTTCAAACGCGAATTAGAGTAAAACGATGTTTACGTTTTCCAATGACAGAAGCAGTTTTTCCCGTGATGCATTCTAGTCTAGGGAAAGTCCCTTTAAATTAAAAAAAAAAGTCTTCCCTGTCGTCCGCCATTTTGGAATGCATTCACGCCAATGTTTTGAGTCAGAATAAGAAAACCAATCATGTGACAAAAATGCTCAAGAATTTTGCGCGATAAAACAACAATAAGCCACCAATCGGATAGCCTGCAGAGCAGGCGTGATTTTGGCGAGCGAGTGATCAGAAATTTCTTTGCGAAAATTATAGCCGCCATCTTTGATTTTCATTGCGATAGGCTGGGGAGAGGGAAGTTACTACATCACGGGCGACGAGCGGGGATAGAAAAAACGACCCAAATATGAGCGGTCAGCGGTGAAACAGCTTTTATACCTCATATAGAGACATAATTTGTTGTTCCAGAGACAATCGTGTTGTAAAGCCGAAATGTTAACAGTTTACTTCACAGTTTAAGCAATTTTTCAAAAGTGTTGATTGAACTCATATCTTTTACTGCTTTAATAAACAATGGAGGCTTCGGAGAGGGAGTCAGTGGCATTTGGAAAGGCACCAAGAATAATTATATATATGGTTTGTAGCTAGCTGCGTGACGTGCGTGACGTTAAGATAGATTTTCACGAGCGTCAATGGTGCAGAATCGTAACTTGATGAAGCCAACAGTGGATAACATCCCAGAATTCAAACTTTGTGATTTTTTTCTCGGCTTAAACGCTAAGTCAGTTGTTCAATTGAATAGGAAGAAAAACATTTCGAACGGAAAACAGCATTATTTGCACGTGTGGATCTTTTGAGAAAAGGTCTCCTAAACGAGTGGTCTTGATTGTAAATATTTAAGGAATGGTAAATACATTAGCCTTAACATGGCTGTTTCTCGAAGCTCAGTGTTTTCCTACTTGCCTTTTTTCCACGTGAATTGGGGGCGATTGAATAGATATAATATGCAGTAAAAGAACTTCAGCTGATAGAAATTTTAAATTTCTCATCTTAGGCTGTGGATACAAAATTCAAGTGAAAAGGAAGCCAACTGTGATTAATGCTTTGAACAAGTCAAGATACGTTTTTTTCGTCACACAACAAGTTACATAACGTGAATATCATTCTTCTTGATGCCTTTCCCGGTGTCACCAATGCCTTTCCCGATGCCTCCGTTGGTTAATAGAGCATTAAAAGTATTGTTCCAGTTAAAGCTTGAGGAAAATTGCTTAACTTTTTAAGTAGCGAAGTGTAACTTGGTAACATTTCGGCTTTACAACACGATTGTTTTCTGCAACTACAAAACGTACATTTAATTCTTCTTGGTACCTTTCGGATGCCACCGATGCCTTCATTGTTTACTAAAGCAGTAAAAGATATATGTACAATCAACACTTTTGAATTGCTTAACATTTTATTTAGCGAAGTAAACTGTTTACACTTCGCCTTTACAACACGATTGTTTCCTGATACTACAAATGATCTGTCTATATATGAAGTATGAAAGTTGTTTCACAGCTGACCACTCGTATTTGGGTCGTTTTTTCTATCCCCGCTCGTCGCCCGTGATGTAGTAACTCCCTGGGGAGAGAAAGAAATTTGTACTAAGGGGTCGATTGAGGTTAAAAAATAAGGAGAGGGTAAGGGAGTTAAGATTATCATTACCCCGCCCCCTACCCCTACCGTCCACTTTCACACCTAATCAAATGTGGCCGGTTGGATAAACGAGCACGAGCTCATAACGTTAGCTAATAAGACGCCGGTGTCCCAGCGGATTTGGACCCCCCTAGAATTGGACCCCCCGGTCCAAATCCGCTAGCGGATATGGACCCCCCTAGAATTGGACCCCCCGGTCCAAATCCGCTAGCGGATATGGACCCCCCCGGTCCATATCCGCTAGCGGATTTGGACCCCCGGGGTCCATATCCGCTAGCGGATTTGGACTCCCCTCCGCGGATTTGGACCCCTTTAACAAAACTGAGTAAAAACATTACCATACATAACTTCCTAATAGAAATAATAAAAATTTAGAAAGTAGGCTTTCAAAGAAAGTTTTTTTTTCAGAAAGTAGGTTTTTATTTTAAAACATTCTCGTAGACGTGATCTTTTTCTCAGCATTGCGTCTCAATTTAAGGTTTTCGTTTAATTAACCTGCAGCTGTAAGTCTGTTGTTTACCTCTGGAATGAAAATGAAACGTAAATTTTGAAATCATTTGTTTGCTTGCC